GCAGTGTGGGGAGAAGGGTGGTATTAGTTATATTGTGTAGTACACACTAAGTCTGTTATAGGTGATCACCTAACTGTTTGATATAGGAGGCATGGCAGTGTGGGGAGAAGGGTGGTATTAGTTATATTGTGCAGTACACACTAAGTCTGTTATAGGTACTCACCTAACTGTTTGATATAGGAGGCAGAGCAGTGTGGAGAGAAAGGTGGTATTAATGATATTGTGTAGCACACACTAAGTCTGTTATAGGTACTCACCTAACATTTTGATATAGGAGGCACGGCAGTGTGGAGAGAAGGGTGGCTCTATTAGGTGACCAGCTCCCTCATATACCACCAGCTCTATGTTGTTTTGTTTGTGGGCAGGGAAGCAGCCAACCTGTAGCTGGTGCAGGTCCGGATGGACATTCATATCGTCAGAACCAATGATGCTCAGAATTTTAACATCAGATTCCCAAACCTTGTAAACAAATATCAATCACTAAATCAAATAATTGTTTGGATAAGTATAATGGTATTAATTTTTGTATTGTGCTTTGTATTTTAATTGTCTATCCAATACAACATGAAAAGTCCAGAGAAATGTAACAAGAGATCCCAGAGGGATCTTGGCGCTCACCATTGTACCATCTTCATTAGTTCTTTGTCAATTCAATCTTTTCTCTTCTTTCCTCTAATCTATTTGATCGATCAGTCATGTTAACAGTAAATGCACCTTGAGGTAACTTTTGATCTAAACTTACTACTGATGTGTATGAAATCCCAACCTTCAAAGTGAGTTTGTCATTTCACATATTTACTAGTACAGTACTTTGTGAAAGAAATAGAATCAATCATTGCAATATGAGAAAGATCTGTTTAGTTCTTCCTTTAGTCATTTTGTTCTTATGATCAGTCTTAAAATACAACATGCACAACGAGGGGTCAAGGGGAACCTACATATCAAATTTGAGAAGATCCCTCAAGTTATTCCTGAGAAATAGTACTAACAAACCTTCAATGTCAAAAATCCTAGATGGCTGTCGGTAGGCCATTTTGATTAACTGATCAGTTTCAAAAGTAAACATGAACAATAAAGGATAGTGGGGAACCTGCATTGGCTGGCCCAAAAAAAAAAAATTTGGCCGAGTAAAAAATTTGAAGCACTGGCCCAAATGATATATAAGTGGCCCAAATAATTTTGGGAAGAAATATTTCCACAGCATTTAGCAGAACGCTTCAGCACATTTAAATTACATATAACATGACAATGTTTGTAATAAAACGCTATATTTTTAATTCTTCAACCCCAGTTAAAACCTGGCATGATCCACTCCATTCAGGTCTTCCAAAAAAGAAATACGCAAAACATGCACCTCAAAGAAGACACCCTGGCAGTATTTATATAGAAACTCTGATTTTTTTTTAACTCATTTTCCAAATCACGGTCAGTTCAATTCAAATTGAAAAATGTACTGCCCCCCAGTTAATTTTGTGGAAGGGACTATAATTTCTTTTATTCATTAATTTTTCGACCGTCCCCTGAACTATTTTGGTTGCGCCAGTGACTACCTCACTTTTGGTCGCTCGAGCAAGACTTTAACTGCCATTGGCGAGCATGTGACCATCCATTTTAGGCACTGCTGCAACAAGGGAACAAGGTAAACCTACATATAAAATTTGAGAAATATGCCTCTAGTACTTCCCGAGAAATAGCGATAACAAACTTTCACTATCAAAATCCAAGATGGCTTCCTGTCTACCATGTTATTTATCCGATCAGTCTCAAAAGTTGCCCTGCACAGCTTAGGACCAAGGGGAACCTACATATAAAAATTGAGAAAGAGACCTCTAGTACTTCTTGAGAAATACTGATAACAAACCTTCACTATCAAAATCCAAGATGGCTACCTGTCGGCTATGTTGTTTTTATGATCAGTCTCAAAAGTTGCCCTGAACAGCTTAGGACCAAGGGAAACCTACATATAAAATTTGAGAAAGATCCCTCTGATACTTCCCGAGTTGCGATAACAAACTTTCACTATCAAAATCCAAGATGGCTTCCTGTCGGCCATGTTGTTTACCCGATCAGTCTCAAAAGCTGCCCTGCACAGCTAAGGACCAAGGGAAACCTACATATTAAATTTGAGAAAGATCCCTCTGGTACTTCTTGAGAAATACAGATAACAAGAATTGTTTAAGGACGGAGGATGGACGACGGACGAAGGACCACGAACGCAGGGTGATTTGAATAGCCCATCATCAGATGATGGTGGGCTAAAAATGTTAATGCATTTTGATATAGCATGGAATACAACATTGAAAGAGTTCAGCAAACAGACATATCAATACCTTGAAGAACTTGGAGGTGTCAAAGCAGTGGCCAGTTTTGGAACAGATGCCTTCCTCAGTATGATCATATAGAGCAAGATCTAATCTAAAACGAAACATAAGATGGTAAAGTCAGAGGATACTTGATAGTCCTCACATACAGATATAAACAGACAGTAAAGTCAGAGGATACTCAATAGTCCTCACATACAGATATAAACAGACAGTAATGTCAGAGGATACTTAATAGTCCTCACATACAGATATAAACAGACAGTAATGTCAGAGGATACTTAATAGTCCTCACATACAGATATAAACAGACAGTAATGTCAGAGGATACTTAATAGTCCTCACATACAGATATAAACAGACAGTAATGTCAGAGGATACTTAATAGTCCTCACATACAGATATAAACAGACAGTAATGTCAGAGGATACTCAATAGTCCTCACATACAGATATAAACAGACAGTAATGTCAGAGGATACTCAATAGTCCTCACATACAGATATAAACAGACAGTAATGTCAGAGGATACTTAATAGTCCTCACATACAGATATAAACAGACAGTAATGTCAGAGGATACTTAATAGTCCTCACATACAGATATAAACAGACAGTAATGTCAGAGGATACTTAATAGTCCTCACATACAGATATAAACAGACAGTAATGTCAGAGGATACTTAATAGTCCTCACATACAGATATAAACAGACAGTAATGTCAGAGGATACTTAATAGTCCTCACATACAGATATAAACAGACAGTAATGTCAGAGGATACTTAATAGTCCTCACATACAGATATAAACAGACAGTAATGTCAGAGGATACTTAATAGTCCTCACATACAGATATAAACAGACAGTAATGTCAGAGGATACTTAATAGTCCTCACATACAGATATAAACAGACAGTAATGTCAGAGGATACTTAATAGTCCTCACATACAGATATAAACAGACAGTAATGTCAGAGGATACTTAATAGTCCTCACATACAGATATAAACAGACAGTAATGTCAGAGGATACTTAATAGTCCTCACATACAGATATAAACAGACAGTAATGTCAGAGGATACTTAATAGTCCTCACATACAGATATAAACAGACAGTAATGTCAGAGGATACTTAATAGTCCTCACATACAGATATAAACAGACAGTAATGTCAGAGGATACTTAATAGTCCTCACATACAGATATAAACAGACAGTAATGTCAGAGGATACTTAATAGTCCTCACATACAGATATAAACAGACAGTAATGTCAGAGGATACTTAATAGTCCTCACATACAGATATAAACAGACAGTAATGTCAGAGGATACTTAATAGTCCTCACATACAGATATAAACAGACAGTAATGTCAGAGGATACTTAATAGTCCTCACATACAGATATAAACAGACAGTAATGTCAGAGGATACTCAATAGTCCTCACATACAGATATAAACAGACAGTAATGTCAGAGGATACTTAATAGTCCTCAAATACAGATATAAACAGACAGTAATGTCAGAGGATACTTAATAGTCCTCACATACAGATATAAACAGACAGTAATGTCAGAGGATACTTAATAGTCCTCAAATACAGATATAAACAGACAGTAAAGTCAGAGGATACTTAATAGTCACATACATACAGATATAAACAGACTGTAAAGTCAGAGGTTACTCAATAGTCACATACATACAGATATAAACAGACAGTAAAGTCAGAGGATACTTTTTTTTTATAATTATCTTTTTATTCAGAGTTTTCATCAATGCAATGTACATGTACAATAAATAGCAAATGACCTGTAGGTACAGTACTCAATAGCCTGTAGGTACAGTACACAATAGCCTGTAGTTACAGTACTCAATGGCCTGTAGGTACAGTACCCAATAGCCTGTAGGTACAGTACCCAATAGCCTGTAGGTACAGTACTCAAGGCCTGTAGGTACAATACTCAATAGCCTGTAGGTACAGTACTCTATAGCCTGTAGGTACAGTACACAATAGCATGTAGGTACAATACTCAATGGCCTGTAGGAAAAATACTCAATAGCCTGTAGGTACAGTACTCAAGGCCTGTAGGTACAATACTCAATAGCCTGTAGGTACAGTACCCAATAGCCTGTAGGTACAGTACACAATAGCCTGTAGGTACAGTACACAATAGCCTGTAGGTACAATACTCAATGGCCTGTAGGTACAATACTCAATAGCCTGTAGGTACAGTACTCAAGAGCCTGTAGGTACAATACTCAATGTCCTGTAGGTACAATACTCAATAGCCTGTAGGTACAGTACTCAAGAGCCTGTATGTATAGTTCTCAATAGCCTGTAGGTACAGTACTCCATAGCCTGTAGGTACAGTATCCCCCCCTTTCCACCCCCACACTTTTACAGTACTCAATAGCCTGTAGGTACAAATAAATCAAATTTCACCCACCTTTATGCCCCTGCCAGTTGGACATTTGATAAGTGCCTCTGTTTTTGTTTCATTTTGATAAATCCAATAAATGGACATTTGCTTAATTTACTGGTTGGGACACTTGATGCAATCACTGATTCCATTTTGACACCCTCACTATTTTGACACTTCATATCACAGTTGAAACAAGCCTTTGGTATTCCTGTAGTCAGACTGTTGATATTTCTGCTTTAGTTGACCTTTTCCCCATCAGACCAGCCCACTTACTAAATGATGTTTGGGTAGGAAAGGTACTATCATGGATATAGGCGAATGATTTCAGTATTAACAATATCAGTCAATGACTTTTGGGTTGGAAATGGATTTTGTATTCAGACCAATCTACTCACTCTATGGCGTTGGGATATGTGATGTGTCCATCATGGATTGGGGAGAATGACAAGTAGGGCATGCCATTGATACTGACAATAGCTTTAATCTACAAAGACATGAAAAAGAGAAGAGTTTCATAAGTTAATTTTATATCATATTCTATATCTTGAAATTCATGGACATAACAGATGACATTTTAAATTGTACATAAGTAGTGCTTAAATGTATTATACTGACATCACATGATATATATCACATGACATTGACATCACATGATATATATCACATGATATTGACATCAAATGATATTAATATCAGGTGAAACAGATATCACATGATACTGACATCACATGATATTGACATCACATGATATTAATATCAGGTGAAACAGATATCACATGATACTGACATCACATGATACAACACATTGATATCCCATGAAACTGACATCACATGATATTGATATCAGGTGAAATAGACATTTCACACAATATTGCCATCACATGATACTGACATCACATGACACATGATACTGACATCATATTGAATTGATCTACACCACATTATGACTCCAATGAACATTTACCTCACAAGCAATATCTTCACACATTGCTATTTCCAAGTAATGTAAATTTTGACATCACATATAAGCTACATTATGTATATTTACATGTTTTTAAATTTATTTCTACTACAATTGCCTCTGTTTAACAAATCCAAGATCATCCGATAAAAGGAAAGGTGTTAGTTAAATATCAGCTTTCAAAGACTGGTAGATTATTAAATAGCTTTTGTCATTTTAGATGGTTAAGAAAAGTCTGAAATATAACACCAACACTCCTCTATGATATACATTCGTCCTCAATGTAGTACAATAATAGATATATAAATCCGAGCTTTACAAGCACTGAAAATTAATTAAAAGTAAAAACCAATATCAAAATATTTAAAGTATGATAAAATCTGGGTATAGATCAACACAGCCGTATGTATAAGAAAGCTTATCACTTCAAACAATTTCTATGCTACCCGACTCTTCGACTGTAAAACAACAAATTCAGAGTAGAAATATATCTTGCAACAAGTGACCATCATCTAACATGTTTATTTAACTCTCATTGCTTAACTTCATATTTCAAAAAGAAAACATTGCTAATCTTGCTAATTCTTTTTTCAAATTCCAAAATTAACTAACCTGATTTAGATACACAGGATATAAAGCAACAGTTACTCAGTGGGGCCGAATTAAGGTTTATCTTTGACAGCAGATAGTTTATCAGAAGACTATTGGTGGTTTACAGCTGGAGGTTGGATTAGTACAGAATTATAACTGAGGACAGCTTACCACAGGACAGTGAATGGCTATAAACTGGCCTAGCTCCGCCCCTTTGGAGATTGCAATGATACCAAGGCCACCAGACTGGACATGGGTGTGAGTGTCCAGAAACGTCACAGCCTCCTACAAGTATATAATAAATCATTGATATCATTATCATGTTTTTATACAACAACCATTCCACATTGGCTTATTTGGTGAAAGTGGTTTCAGTTCACATTATTAATGAAATACATAGAGCATCTTTGAGATAAGTCTTTACCATATAGACATGCACATGTTAGATGTAACCTGCATTTTCTGCTTCGGAATCAACTTTCAACTGCTTTGACATTTGATGGAATGATGGAACAGACAGCTCAAGCATATGAAGTTAGAAACAGGCAAGACATTTATGGGATGATAACTATCATCAAATCAAATAGAAAATATGAGACGGAACTATGACAGAAAGTCACGAAATAATTGAAAATGTATATAGAAAACATGTACTTCTTACCTAGTACTACAGCCTCACCATGTTTGGTAAAGACAAGGGATGGAACTTGAAGTTATACAGTGGAAACCGTCAGCCAATCAAACAGATGTAAAATCAACCTAGAATGACCTTGACCTCCATCTGAATTACCTTAAAACCTACAGGTGTATTCTTTTACCCACTACTACAACTACACAAATGGGAATTAGTTACCATGTATGAGTATAAAGTGAAAAAAAGCATCACCTATATATCAAAAACTACATAAAACTGTATTTCCTTTACAACAATTATGAAAATTCTTGGAATTTTACTATCATTTCTGTTTTTATTGACCTTGATCGAAGCATGCAGTCTTAATGTGGGAGAAAATTGGAGTACCCACATAATACCCATGTGGTCGGGCAGACGACCTTATACTTTTCACCTCTAATCAGGGAATCAAATCCTATCCATATTGGTGAAAGGCAAGTGCGGTTTATTGACACTGCGACCAGACAACCTATACTGATTGAAGGAATCAACATTGAATGAGTCAACCTTGATCTATCAATGAATAACTTAAATTTAGTTGCCAGTCTTTCAGTTGCCACATCACTACACAACTGCAACAACTGTGAGTCTCACCTTGAAGTAGTTGAGATCAAGGTCACTGAAGCTCTTTTGAAGATCTTGATATCCAAAGAATGGCAGTGCCAAAACAGCGAAGCCTCTGGATGCAAGCAAGGCAGCGCGGTACTCCATAATACCGCCTCCAGTTCCATACATATCTATCAGCCCAGGGAACGGCCCTGGCCCTGGAAACATTGTAACAAATTACAATGTGAAAAAAAACCAAGGCCAAACATAGTCCCCCACCGGTAATGATTTCTATATTTAACAGGATGTACCTACTGTTCAAAGCATAAGTCAGTTAGCAGTTTCATCGCACTGCTATATTAAAACGTGGAATTCTCCGACACCGTTTGGTATCGGGAAGTGACTAATCTACAAAAAGGCGCAGGCTGAAAATCTTCTAAACAAGAATGCTATATTCCGTTTTAGGTCCGGATCAGTACGGTTTGTTGATTAGTCATCCCATGACCTACAAAAATGTCATTTGCTCAGGTGGGAAATGTTGGAACGATTGAAAATCGAGGACTCTACTGACAGAATTCAGCAGCTGTTGGTGACAATAAAGAGCTGATTTGGATCAATAAATAATCCATTTATGGATATATATGAGGTATGCGTTGTGTCAAAGTAGGTTTTTGTTGTCAGCACCTCATAACTCTACGATCCCAAAGGGTGTCGGAGAATTCCAGGTTTTCATATAGCAGTGCGCTTTGGCCCCACATCTCACATCTATATGTCAAAATGTCTAAGTCTGGTGTTAGGACCAGAGGAAACTCGGGCTAAAGTCAGTGAGATCATAGTGACCTACTTCATGCACTCGTCATCCCAAGATGTCCTTGTACACCAAATCTGGTTACTCCAGGTGAAATAGTATAGAAAATATATGCCCCATCAAACTTTTGAAAAAGTAAAGGTCAAAGGTCAAGTCATATGACACAGTGACCTTATTCTTACGCTTTGCACTCTGCCATCCCATGATGTTCGTGTACACCAAATCTTGTTACTCCGAGTGAAAAAGTATAGAAGATATGCCCGGGACAAAATTCTTGGACGGAATGATGTAAGGACAGACGGTGTGTAAACCTATAGCCCCCTCCCCTCCCAGGGAACTGGTGGGGGACTAAAACTCTTTCAGGTCCAATACTCCTGAAGATAGGCCCATTAGTACTAAGCAATATATGACAAAAAAGAACTAACAAATATGATTTTTGCATGATTCACTAAAAATGTGAATAGTTTGTGATTTTATCAATGCATGGATACAAAATTGTTCAGGGGCTGAACCCTGGTGGCCACTGACATAATCTGTGTATTGTGGGCATTTTGGTGATATACATATAAGTGGTAGTATGCATTTGCATGTTTTATTTTAAACTGACAGAAATGACATTAATGAAGAATAATGACACTTGTATTCAGACTTAAAATCCCTTTCCTTGATTGCACTGTCTAACTTCCTCATGCTTTTGCCAGTAGGGAGGGGATAAGATAATCAGACGACCATACATCCTAAAACATTATAACTTTCATGGCTTGCTGTGCATTGAATTATTCTATATTCGACATACCTTTAGGTAAGAACAACGTTCCTCGTAGTCTTCCTGACGTGACAGGTATTCTACTAACATCACAAGATTTGTACCAACGCGGAAGCACACCAGTCACCAATGGAGGGTTTGAATGACCTTTGCACAAGTCCGATAGAGAATGGTGACCGCTGTGGATGGAAATGTTCACTAATTGGGGCTTGGTGACATCTGTTTGCACCAGCCGTAACCCTGACCTCTGACCTGGTGCTGGACGCATACTCCAAATGAATCCCATACCATCCGTCCCTGTAGAGAAACATGTTTGAGTTCAGTTTTTTGTAATTATGATAAAACTAAAATGCATGCTAAGGTCAAACATGAACCCCTGTTATATCAATAAAATACATGGCTGCTAGATCAATTCCTTAAAACCCTCAGGATATAATATTGAGCACAGACCGAAGTCTTGCAAAAGGTCTGCTTCATATTCCTCCCAAGGTTTTAAATGAATGATCCATATAAGTACCTCACTCTGTCCAATGTCTTTTTCTCAGTAAGGCCAAATAAAAAAAATATCTGGTGTTTCTGCTAACACTAACTTACCCTAGATTTTTGTGCCTACGCTAAAGTTTTTACTGGCATTTAGTGATATGCCCTGTTAAAGTCAGAACTCCTGCTCTATATAAGCATGGTAAAATATTTTCCAAAATAGAAACAAAACAAACGTAATATCTTTTTGCCCTAATTAACACACAGTACCTACAAATAAACCTTCCAATCTATGTGTGCACCCAAGGAATACATACATGTGTGATATATTTATTTCATCCCCTGCCCCAGGAAACACATATACATACCTAGCTCTGTGACCAAGTAGATGTTTTCCAGATGCACTGCAGTACGTCCCTTCCCCCTCTACATAAGGTGTTTTTTAGATCGATGCACTGCAGTCCCTTCCCCCTCTACATAAGGTGTTTTCTAGATACACTACAGTCCCTTTCCCCTCTGCATAAGGTGTTTTCCAGATGTACTGCAGTCCCTTCCCCCTCTACATAAGGTGTTTTCTAGATGCACTGCAGTCCCTTTCCCCTCTACATAAGGTGTTTTCTAGATGCACTGCAGTCCCTTCCCCCTCTACATAAGGTGTTTTCCAGATGCACAGCAGTCCCTTCCCCCTCTACATAAGGTGTTTTCGCGATGTACTGCAGTCCCTTCCCCCTCTACATAAGATGTTTTCTAGATGCACTGCAGTCCCTTCCCCCTCTACATAAGGTGTTTTCCAGATGCACTGCAGTCCCTTCCCCCTCTACATAAGGTGTTTTCCAGATGCACTGCAGTCCCTTCCCCCTCTACATAAGGTGTTTTCCAGATGCACTGCAGTCCCTTCCCCCTCTACATAAGGTGTTTTCCAGATGCACTGCAGTCCCTTCCCCCTCTACATAAGGTGTTTTCCAGATGCACTGCAGTCCCTTCCCCCTCTACATAAGGTGTTTTCCAGATGCACTGCAGTCCCTTCCCCCTCTACATAAGGTGTTTTCCAGATGCACTGCAGTCCCTTCCCCCTCTACATAAGGTGTTTTCCAGATGCACTGCAGTCCCTTCCCCCTCTACATAAGGTGTTTTCCAGATGCACTGCAGTCCCTTCCCCCTCTACATAAGGTGTTTTCCAGATGCACTGCAGTCCCTTCCCCCTCTACATAAGGTGTTTTCCAGATGCACTGCAGTCCCTTCCCCCTCTACATAAGGTGTTTTCCAGATGCACTGCAGTCCCTTCCCCCTCTACATAAGGTGTTTTCCAGATGCACTGCAGTCCCTTCCCCCTCTACATAAGGTGTTTTCCAGATGCACTGCAGTCCCTTCCCCCTCTACATAAGGTGTTTTCCAGATGCACTGCAGTCCCTTCCCCCTCTACATAAGGTGTTTTCCAGATGCACTGCAGTCCCTTCCCCCTCTACATAAGGTGTTTTCCAGATGCACTGCAGTCCCTTCCCCCTCTACATAAGGTGTTTTCCAGATGCACTGCAGTCCCTTCCCCCTCTACATAAGGTGTTTTCCAGATGCACTGCAGTCCCTTCCCCCTCTACATAAGGTGTTTTCCAGATGCACTGCAGTCCCTTCCCCCTCTACATAAGGTGTTTTCCAGATGCACTGCAGTCCCTTCCCCCTCTACATAAGGTGTTTTCCAGATGCACTGCAGTCCCTTCCCCCTCTACATAAGGTGTTTTCCAGATGCACTGCAGTCCCTTCCCCCTCTACATAAGGTGTTTTCCAGATGCACTGCAGTCCCTTCCCCCTCTACATAAGGTGTTTTCCAGATGCACTGCAGTCCCTTCCCCCTCTACATAAGGTGTTTTCCAGATGCACTGCAGTCCCTTCCCCCTCTACATAAGGTGTTTTCCAGATGCACTGCAGTCCCTTCCCCCTCTACATAAGGTGTTTTCCAGATGCACTGCAGTCCCTTCCCCCTCTACATAAGGTGTTTTCCAGATGCACTGCAGTCCCTTCCCCCTCTACATAAGGTGTTTTCCAGATGCACTGCAGTCCCTTCCCCCTCTACATAAGGTGTTTTCCAGATGCACTGCAGTCCCTTCCCCCTCTACATAAGGTGTTTTCCAGATGCACTGCAGTCCCTTCCCCCTCTACATAAGGTGTTTTCCAGATGCACTGCAGTCCCTTCCCCCTCTACATAAGGTGTTTTCCAGATGCACTGCAGTCCCTTCCCCCTCTACATAAGGTGTTTTCCAGATGCACTGCAGTCCCTTCCCCCTCTACATAAGGTGTTTTCCAGATGCACTGCAGTCCCTTCCCCCTCTACATAAGGTGTTTTCCAGATGCACTGCAGTCCCTTCCCCCTCTACATAAGGTGTTTTCCAGATGCACTGCAGTCCCTTCCCCCTCTACATAAGGTGTTTTCCAGATGCACTGCAGTCCCTTCCCCCTCTACATAAGGTGTTTTCCAGATGCACTGCAGTCCCTTCCCCCTCTACATAAGGTGTTTTCTAGATGCACTGCAGTCCCTTCCCCCTCTACATAAGGTGTTTTCTAGATGCACTGCAGTCCCTTCCCCCTCTACATAAGGTGTTTTCTAGATGCACTGCAGTCCCTTCCCCCTCTACATAAGGTGTTTTCTAGATGCACTGCAGTCCCTTCCCCCTCTACATAAGGTGTTTTCTAGATGCACTGCAGTCCCTTCCCCCTCTACATAAGGTGTTTTCTAGATGCACTGCAGTCCCTTCCCCCTCTACATAAGGTGTTTTCTAGATGCACTGCAGTCCCTTCCCCCTCTACATAAGGTGTTTTCTAGATGCACTGCAGTCCCTTCCCCCTCTACATAAGGTGTTTTCTAGATGCACTGCAGTCCCTTCCCCCTCTACATAAGGTGTTTTCTAGATGCACTGCAGTCCCTTCCCCCTCTACATAAGGTGTTTTCTAGATGCACTGCAGTCCCTTCCCCCTCTACATAAGGTGTTTTCTAGATGCACTGCAGTCCCTTCCCCCTCTACATAAGGTGTTTTCTAGATGCACTGCAGTCCCTTCCCCCTCTACATAAGGTGTTTTCCAGATGCATTGCAGTATCTTCCCCCTCTACATAAGGTGTTTTCTAGATGCACTGCAGTCCCTTCCCCCTCTACATAAGGTAATTTCCAGATGCACTGCAGTCCCATTCCCCTCTACATATATAGTGCCTACCTGTATATGTTCCTGATAAAGCAGGTGTTCTCTCCAGATCCACAGTGCCATCCTTTTCTGCCTGGTAACACCCACAGCTGGCGAAAACTTCACCTTTACCACTCTTGATTGAAGAGTATACAGTCACTCTCTGGTTGGCTGCCAGCCCAGACACCTGAACCGACACTCGCTCATCCACCATGACCTCGTGTGGATGGACAGATAACTTCATACCTTCCATAGATCTTGTGTTGAGACATCTGTTTTGAAGAGTCAGTGAAATCATTATAAGAAACTGAGATATATACATGTACATGTAATACTTATTATACCAGTACATAAATCTTAAGGCATCAATTTTTATGGCTTAAATGAAATATACAGAGCCCACTATAGGAAATATTACCTTGCATTTTAAATATTGGCTCAGAAGTCCCAATTTTCGATAAGATGCATTTTAAAGCTATACCAGGGCTATATTTATGTCTTTGCATGCATACAGGGTAATCTTAATAAACTTAAAAAATGGTGGCTTTGGTTTTTCTGAGTCTTCAATGAGTTTAAGTTAAAACACATGCAAACGACATTCTGTACGTAACACCACATAAATAGCACGCCAACAATGAATTTAAGTTGCTGATCAAATAAAATCAAATATTCACAATAACTATATGAAAGACTACCCCAGTGTGAGAAGTCCCTTAGGATTGGCCAGTGTATATATATCTATGCTATATATGGTGGTTTAATATTTTGTTTGTGTTTGTAGGCTTGATGTAGTGTATCTCGGGTGATGATGATGGTGTCTTGTAATGGGTTGTATTATATTGTGGTGTCTTGTAATGGGTGGTATTATATTGTGGTGTCTTGTAATGGGTGGTATTATTGTGGTGTCTTATAATGGGTGGTATTTTTGTGGTGTCTTGTAATGGAAGGTTTTATTGTGGTGTCTTATAATGGGTGGTATTTTTGTGGTGTCTTGTAATGGGTGGTATTATTGTGGTGTCTTATAATGGGTGGTATTTTTGTGGTGTCTTATAATGGGTGGTATTATTGTGGTGTAATATAATTAATTATGAAAGTGTATATTTATGTCCGATTATATAACCACATATGTTTATTCTACAGCAAAGCGCACCCATGATGTCGGGTGGTCTATTTGGATTACATCAATTCCCCATTGCTTCAGCCTACGATATCGTTAGAGAATTTCTGAAACGCAAATTACGTCGGCTATTACTCGTAATTGTAAATCATGTCATAAAAATGAGCAAATTTGTATGCTAATTTTTTTTTTTCCTAGAAGACCTTTTTCAACATAGTATGATGATTAATATTTTAATATTGTTGTTAATAATTACCGGTACAGCTTCATGATTTAATGACAAAATGTTTTTAATTAATCTGAGAATATACTGTGGTTTCAGAATGAAAAGTCATCACTGTCAGCCATTACATTAAAATACAGAGAACAATAGGCAAGACAATGGCCGTTTAAACTCCTTTTTTCTAGATGGTCAATTTTAAAACTGACTGGTGATTTATATTCTATAATATCTTTTGGTTGATTTCAGGTTTGTGAAATAACTTCAAAATTGTTAAATCTTATTTATCGACTTCATAGAATATTTTGAATATTGATTTATATCATAAAAAAAAGTTTCAAGAAAATAAGATGATTTCATAATTAAGCCTTTTTATAAGAGCATCGAAATGAGCATTTTATTCACTTCACACCTATTTGCTAGTTGTGTAATTCAAAGCGTATAATGGGGGGGGGGGGGTCATCACAGGGGTTCACAGGGGGGCGGGGTCAAGTTTTATTATATCCAAATGCAACACAGCATGTAGGTTACAAACATACATAACTAAATATTCAAAATTCATATGTGATGTACAAGATGGCAGAGGACAATTCCATTCAAATATATATATGCCTACAGGCATGTAATAATGATATCACTTGCAGTTTTACAGCATGATTTTTCATAAAGTTGTGAGAAGTATATAACAATATAATCATATGTGTGACTTAACTACCTCTATATATGTGAAGACATGGAAGGATGACATCATAATGAAAACACTACATATAACTTCACTTCAACAGCCAGAAAGAACCATGGGATGTCATTAAAGTACTATTTAACGTGCTATTAACGAATCTTAAATAACTATTATTATACATGTACACTTATAACAAAGTAGTTTCAAATAATGTTTTAATATAATATCACTACTGAGCAAGGAGAATTTTCCTTTTAGAAGTAGCGTGCCACAAATATTTACCCAGTCTATTTAAAGATTTAACACTTTTACAGGTAAATAATTCTGTTAGTTTATAGACACTTGGATGTCGATAATAATACTGTTTGATGTATGTTTTTCTTAAATCAGAATATGCAGGACAAAGTAGTACAAAATGTACTTCATCTTCGATATCATTTTTATCGCAGACTGTACATATTCTCTGACCTCTTGGAATGTTATTATAGCGCCCAGATTCTATGTTAAGACTGTGTGCTTGCATGCGAAATTGACTCAATAACTTTTTTATCCTTATATCAATGGGCTTAGTCAGATAGAACTGGACGCAAAAGGTATCAACAAGATGCTTGTAACAAATAACATTTTGAAGATGCATCAAAAGCACTGCACAATTCTTGGATAAATACATCATGAACACGTTGAGCATACATTTGCAAAAAAAGATTTTCATTTTGTACATATTGACAAGTCCAAATATAATTAAAACCCAAACTACATAGTTCATGCTTAATTTGATAAACCCAATTAATTTTACAATTATGTTTTCTGATATTTAATTTGACTAATGCGTCGTAACATGATTTTAAAACACAGTTACTAGTATTTAAAAATTTTAACCGATATCTCATTATGGCCATTTTACGTTGCACATATAATGAATATCTCCCAGTTTCAAAGTAAACCATAGAAGTATTGACAGTTTTCTTAACATTTAATAGGTCTTTGAGAAAAAGGAGATGGATTAAAGGTGACTTACCTGTGAGGTGATCTAATGCGAGCGGAACAAGGGAGGTGCAGCAGACTTAAGGGTTAAAAAGCCTTAGGGGATTGGTACTGGTAATTGTAATCTTACACCTATAGCTAGTTAACATTATAGGGAAGTATAGTCTCGTTCAACCAGATGCTTGATCAACCAGATGCTTGATCACTTGTAATTCAAGAGTCAGGTCAAACACAGTACTTTAGAATTACAATCACCAGAGGGCAGTGTTTTTAATTTCGTTTCCGGATGTTTTGTCAACGCTGTTAAAACATTTCAAAGAATAAGGAAATTATTTAAATGAAAAAAACTTACCTGTACATGCATTCCTGAATTATCCGTTTATTCACTTTTATCGAGAAAAATTGTCAATTCTCCAGAATAATGCCATATATTTCCACTGAATAAATCATAGCTGAGCACAAAGCCAACAAGGCTGACTGAGGTTGGTAAAAAGCATGCAAAGCAAGGGAGATGTTACCTGTACCCCATTCAAAACACTACAGGTTCTCACTCAGGTAATCTGGCTTGACTTGCATAAAAGTAGCTTTGTTAGCTTCATGAATTATCGTAAAATATCCAATGAAAATAGACTACATGCAATCATTTTTGAGATTTGAAGCATTTTCTTACATTTTTCTCGATAATAGTGAAAACATGGATGCTTCAGAAATGCTTGTACAGGTAATTTTTTTCATAAATTAAAATATTCAATGAAAATTCTGACTTCAAAAGTTGAAAAAGGTGTGTCTACTTTTGACCAATGAAATCATCTACCAGAATCCTGGTAAGCCTCGTTATGATGTCACAAAACGATAGCACTGGGTTTGACCAGACTCTCTGTTTGGCGTATCTTGCGCGGATAACAAGAGTCTGGTTGAACGAGACTAAGGCAAGTAAGGTTCATGAGATATTGCATTGACACACCCTGTGAGATTCATACCTGAACTCTCACAGGTAACAATTACATGCATGTTTTTTTACCCATGGATTGGGCGGCTTTATATATCTATTTCAGTATTCATCTCAAGATGGACTTCTTTTATCATATAATTAATTGTTGCGATCCATAAGTAAAAATTGTCACCGATACTTTTTGCAATTCAATCAAACACCTAGCTGATACCGATATATGTGTGACTGCAGGCCAAGTCTTGCGACGCATCTCAGAGATTTATAGGCTCATGCGTGTGTTTGTGAGATCTGCGCGAGTTACCAATCTCTGGCTTTAAATGTCTCTGGATTAGCTATATATATAATACTATACCTTATTATTCACAAGGTTTATTTACGAGTGTGTGAATCATGTATGGTGTCTCAGATAACAATTCATTTTGTGGTGTCTTTTAATTTCGTGAGAGAATAAAATTTGTATTAACTTGTAATGTATAAGGATCAGAAACAAATGTATATATGTATATATATATATTATATTGTACAGAGATAATTCTATTTTTTCAATGCCTCCGCTAGGAGTCGATTCCTGGACCTCTGGTTTTCCTCAAGTCTTACGCTCTACCAAATGAGCTAAAGAGAAATTTTCCATAGCCTAGTTGGTATAGAAACGGCTAGTATTTTACCAGGGTGACAATTATACATATGTTTATGTGTTTCAAATTTAAGTTTTGTGAATAAAATTTTAATGGAGAAATACCCGATTTTCTATTAATACACCTCAGCCAGCTGCATGCAATATGTTGATAGCCGAGATTCCTCTGGCCCCGACACCAGACTTATAGACAGATAGATGTCTGCATGGTGTTCATCTACATTTGTATCTGTCAAAATGTCTAAGCCTGGTGTCAGGGCTTACTCCAACAGTGCTAGAGGTTTCACACAGAGAGATATTTTTGAAGCCGCCGTCAAATCATATCCCATAGAAAAAAGGCTGCGACCAGCGGCCTCTTATGTGATAGGAGTAGTGTCATGTCAGGGCCACAGAAAACTCGGGCTAACATGTTGATTGTACCAGGATCAGATCCTGATCGCAAATTTATATTCCGTTATTGGTAACATAAAAATACATGCAGGCATGTATAAAGTTTGAGACAATATTAAATTGCATGTGAAAAGAAAGTGATTTATAATTATTATAATAAATTTCAGATGCAAATTCAAACTGAAAGTTTTAAACATATTGGAATAATCTGAAAGAGTATGTGGCACCCATTTTTGTTCCTAATTTTCAAAATAATTTATAATTATGTTATTTCATTGTATTCTCAAAAATACGGATTCAGACTTGGACCAAAGGGTCACGTTACAATCACACATATGCTATACTGATATGGGTCACAACACACATAAACATACACATTTATGTGTGTTGTGACACATATCATTATAGCATATGTGTGATTGTAAGGTGAAAGTGAAACTGTGCTTGGACTTTGTAACCACAGGCAATTGCGTCAGGTCAGTGATCCGGCGATTCTCCCTTCCCTCTAGTTTTAACTAGAGGGAAGTAAAACTAGAGGGAAGGGAGAATCGCCAGATTACTGACCTGACGTAATTAATAATTGCCTGTGTTGTAACCTTGTAATCATAAGAGAAATTGTGCACAACCTAATTAAACATTAATATTTTGAAGCTATCAGCTATGAAAAAAGTCGAGTATGTTTACCTAATTCCAAAAGATCCGAGTTTGCTGCCAAAATTCACTGGTTCTTTCAACAATGCAAGTATCCGAAACATTTTCATGTTGTATCCGGAAGTTTCCGTCCGATGTTTGTTCAGTTTATTATTTTTTATTAATGGCGGCCCATTCTCATCGTTTAGCTACATGCCCATTATTGTACTTGTATTAATTAGTAGGTCGGTGACAAGTGACACCTCGACCCACATCTTGACCAACAGAACGTAATCTTCGATTGTTGTGTCAATACAATAGTTAAAATACATGATACAGGTAACACACTCGACTTACCGTATAGTAGGCCCAACGATTACATAATCTCATTAGGTGCAGCGCACTCTAACAGTCAGCTAAATAAGCTAGGAGGACGGGTAGAGCTTTCCGGAACCACCATATAGTTTCGTACCAAGTTCAGTGATTAGCGCGACAGTGATCTCCCCTTAATTTTGCTTTGGATGTTGAGCCACGACGTTTGTTTCTCTTGCTTTGATCAAGAACAGCTCAGTTGGTTAGAGCACATGTACAGGGGCACGTTACAAATGTCTGAAATACACACATATGCTATACTGATATGGATCACAACACACGTACGTGCCCCTGTGGTTAGAGCACAGGAACTTGAATTTCTATCAGAATGGTCTATTTAAGCTCAGAGAACTGATTAAGCCCAATATATACCTACGGTAAGGGGGTATATATTGGGCTTAATCAGTTCTCTGAGCTTAAATAGACCATTCTGATAGAAATTCAAGTTCCTGTGGTTAGAGCAAGATCCAGGGTTGAGTCCTGGTCTAGACATGCATGCTTTGATTTTTTCTCTCACTCAGAACACTATTGATTATATTATTTTATCTTTATTATTTTTCACAGGTCCCGCAAGGTATAGTTTTCTTTGAAGAAATTAGTAAAACATTTTTCAATTCGGAGCTACGGTTTTTGGCAGCGGTACGGGGATCATGAAACGAAGAAAATACCTCGTGATGAAATGGTATCATATGTTAAAACGCATACCTATAGCAATCCAAACTTCAGCCCCGTGCCGAAGAACGTCAGCTCGGTAGTTTTTGCACCTAATTTAATAGATAATAACTCATTATTTGAAAAGGTAGGTAAATATAAAATTACACCATATGTAGGATTTTTTTTCTCTAATAGTGTGTTTTTTTTTTTATAATTTTACCATACTTAGGTTTAAATCACGGACACGACATGACCAAGAGGGAAGGCTTACTGCTAGTTGATCGATAAGCAAGACGATACCGACTTTCCGATTGTGAATTTTCCCTTTCTTGATTGTTGCATCCCTGCTTCCCAACCTACAGTGTTTACTAGTCGCAGCTGATTTGGTTTTCAAGAGGTTGCTCTGAATATCATGACTTCTTTGTTAGATGTCGACTGCTGTGGACGGATACAATATACCATATGGGTTTCCAACGCTGCAGGTCGATGAAGACTATGGCCGCCGTCATGATCTTATGGGGAAATATGCTGTTTCTTTGTATGATATGACGGTTGGTGTTTTTGATTATGCATTAGTGTGTTTTGTAGTTTCGTTGTCACTTCCAAAGGTCATGGTATTAGGACGTGATGTTACTCGGATAAACCTATTCCGTCTTTGCGTATTGCAGAGTTATCTTCCCTTGGGAGGAGGGATTAATTGTTACGTCACTTGTTTGTGAGAGTAACGTCATCAATTTTTGAGAAAACGACGTAATTTTCTCACACAAACCAATGACGTAACAATCAATACCTGCTCCCAAGGGAAGATAACTCTGCAATACGCAAAGACGGAATATTTACAGGGCGGGTGTCGTTGATTAAGTAGAAGACGCTAACCCGTCCGAACCACCTGTTTGTATTCTCCTTCTATACTTTCAAGAGTCTCCATGTAAATCTTTCATTTGTAGATACCATGCCAGAATTTATCGACTTGAAGTTCGAATTACAGTTTTAGCATATCTTACTTTTGTATAACCGGCCATGACCTTCCTGAATATGCTAGTTAATCTCGTCCAAGTAACAGTAGTACACATGTATAGAGGTAATGAAAATAAAGCCCACCAAGAATACACAAGATTTGAAAAGTTGGTTAATGCTGTGATCATAGAATTGGCATTTGGTATGTATTCGGAATTTACAGCTTGGACTATTGTTTTCCAAAGCGGTTGGCATACATGTATGGAACAGTGGTGTTAAATTAACACCCAAAAATTATATTTTTTTAATTTTTATTATTTTTTGTAACCATATGACACAAACACATAGATGACAAAACGTTTTATAAATGTTAAGTCGACATTTAGAATTATTAATAGTATACGTGTGTGTGTGTGGTTAACTGTTTATCATATGAACCATGTGGTAGATATCATAAATAATAATATATATCAAATTCGGCCGATAGATTGGTGACAAAAGAGTGACGGTAAAATTGTAATTTTGGCCAGTGGCCTTGACCTAAGACTGAACATACTCGCATTCGAACGACTTGTATAAGGTTTGTCACAGGATCATGTATCTGTGAAGTGTGGCGGAGAGAAGGACAGACGGGACTTTATTTAGGAGTATAATAAAAACAATTTCATGAAGCAGAGTTTTCTTTAACTGCAAGTATCTATAGCAGTGGACGACATATTGTGCAATTGGGCCTTAAAAAACTCTTCATCAGCACTGACGGTCATTGTTGAGGGTTGTGTGAAAGTAATATTTATAATGTATGCAACATAAAAACAGATACATATTAGTTCAAATGTCTTAAACTCGTGATGCTAATAAATTTAACTAAACGCAGTTTCCATCTTGCAAATGACAAGAAAACCCAATGGACTGAGTTTGAATGTCCTTTCTATCGTACACATGTAAGTCTTGCTTTAATAACTCCATAATAAATAAATCACGGTTTTTGGGTCACATTGCTCGGACATATGTAGATATGTACCTTCCAATACCAGCATCATGGACAAATAGTTCTCACTTTTATGGAAAGCATTAAATAGCTGGTTTATTACATGATAATCAAGTGAAAACGGAAAAAAACATTACTTTTAAGCACTGACTGCATTGTTGTTTACCTGCTGTCTGTCTGTGTTTATGACACGGTAATATTTCCTTGTTACTGTAGAGTATTTAAAGTAAGCAGCGTATAACAGTAAAATCCTAACGAAAAGTGTCCATTATTCGTAGTGAAATTTTGAATCGTACATGTCGACAAAACTTTAATTTAAAGAATCACAGCCACAGCAAATTGCACATGAGTCAATAAATTGATATTATTTCATGCCTTCCCATGGTGTTAGGTATATTGCACGAGACCTATGATGTACATATGAGAACTACAGTCAGGATTATTGAACCTTAAAGTCTATCACAGATAATTTGTGGTCACAGACGACTGGACAGGTGCACATTCCTGGAATGTTTCTCAAGGTTTGTCCTTAAAAAGTTTAATATCCGTTTCCAGGAATCTTCTTGTGCGTAAGCGTGATCACGTGCGTTTCCACCCCATACCACGTTTGTTCCTGAAAAATACATACATGTAATTAGGAAAATAAATGTAAAAATGTGTTACTAGTCTTAATTCATCATAATAACATAACAGGTTTTTTTATTCATAGAAATGATAATTGAATGTTGTGTTTATGCATGTAATTGTGGTTTCGCCGCATCTCTAAGACCTGCTGATCTTAATACACAGAGGATCAACCGGAAACCCATAACATGTAAAAATAGTGGCTATACATGTAATAATCTGACTAAGTGGAAGGAAACAGTAGCATTACAGAAGGGCGGTGGCTATACACTCTAGGACTTTACATATAGCAGGATTGGCTACTTCACTCTGGAACATTCTTGAAGGAAGACAATATCCTGCCAAATTAAGGCCAAACAAAAAGTATGTTTGTTTCCTGGTACATGACCAAAACATTAGGGTCGGTTGATAGGCAATATATTTTATTTTTCCTTTTCTTATAATGTTTATACACGGAATTGATCCTAACCTTAACATTGTTTTTCTTTAATATAGCCAAACTAAATTAAGGGTAGGTACAACAAATTCGGGTCGGTAGGGTAACCGAAAACAAACACTGTTTTTATTTGGTCTAATTAAAAACTTGCTACACAATTGCGGTATAACTTAAACTGTGACAGGCTTTGTTATACCCACCCATGATTTTGTGGAGAGATGTCCTACAAAACGGCGAGTAGGGTGGTTCTACTAAATGTCCGGCTCCGTGGTACACGACCAGTTCAATATTCTGTTTCTTGTTTGCTGGGTAGCTGTCGTATTGGAGTTGTTGTAATTCTGGGGGGACGGTACAATCATCGCCACTGCATATACTCAGTAGCTTTACATCTGTTTTCCACAGCTGCAGATAACATTCAATAAAAACAGATTTAGTCAAACGTTCTTACAAAAGTTCTTAATAAGATTCATCAGTTTTGGAAATATGTAATATCAGAGTTTTACTTTCAGCTTTCTCCAGCGCCTCTTAGGCGAAGAACACCGGAGAAAGCCTCCTCCCAGTCTACAGAACCCACATTAATCTCATCGTACGATTATGCAGTGGGAAATATCATGTATAAAATTTAAATTGCCATGCACATTCCCTACTCTTGTCTGTGTTCCTTCAGCAGCATAGCTATTAGTAGTAGTGAGTTCTTCAACTACACTCAACAAACGAAAAAGGTTACATAAGTTACCTTGTTTCGTAAAATCATGGCTAGAAAAACGAAATAGGAAGCATCCATTTGAACATCTCATTTGGTAACATTTTACTGCATCATACGGCCATTTCGTCCTTTAAGGACTCATAGGTGGCACTAAAATTAAAATTAATGAAATATCCACGTCTATCTTAAATTTGATTTTTTTTATGTAGAATACAGCAAAATGTGAATTATAGAGTACTTACAAAGCAATTTAAAATGTTAAAAATTTACAACGTTTTGCAGTTTGAACATTATTTCACACCATGAAAATAGAAATTAAATTTGCCCCATTCATCTTACATTTTTAAAACAAAAATATTTCTTTCTTTTTATCAATTACTGACATATTTCGCTATTAGAAAATATTATTATAAATATTGACCAAATCTCATCGGAAACGCTGCCATATTTGACTTCTTACTGTGCAAAAAACCGTTGACCAATCATATTGCAGATTTTGCTCGTCTTTATGCTTAACCTTTGACATTGTTTTATATAAATATTGACCAAGTTTCATCAGAAATGCTGATTAATTATGCATAGATTTTGCTTAACTACAATCTTTAGTCTTTGTCAATTTGTACATGCATACCAAGCTTCTTGTCTTCCTGATTATCGGGGCATTTTGGCCCTATATATACCAGAAACATATTGGGCCTTTTGTGTATAAAGGTTGGGCAATTTACAAGGCAAAAACGTGTTTTAATCTAACGGTAGCGTTTATTTTAGTTTCAATTAAAGTTATAATATATAATTCCAATACATCGGTGACCTACCTCAAATAGCCCAGCAGGATCCAAAATGTAGCAGAATTTCGTCACTAGTCCTTCGTCAGAGAATATACCGCCATAGATATCATACCTGATATCACAATTATTGATATACATACAGGTATATGTATATAAACATATTAATTTCTTCACAGTTTGACCCTAACGATCCCCAAAAATTTCGATATGATAACAAGAAGCTACAGACAAAATATCCATTGCTCTTGATTGTATGTATCTTTAGAGGTTGTTGAAAGAATTGAACACAACTCAACCTTGAAACCTTGAAATAAGGTCAAGGTCATTTATTAAAAAACTTAAATGCTCTATATTCCGACAGCCTATAAGGGAGGATGTCGTTATTCTAGACCTTATAAAGCATTGGAACAAGTTTATTGAAGATGTTAACCCATTTAACACTTTGACTTTAAAAGTAACTCAAGGTCATTCATAACATGCAACAGGACCATTTTGGTCCTGAAAATAGATGAGGGTCATTTCTTTGGGGAAAAATTGTAGCACTTTGCCAGCAAGACTCTATATTTTAAAAAAGCAAATAAATCTAATCATTTCAACTAATTTCATTTGATAAAATATCCATGCAAAAAAGCGAGTTCTCTCATGACATCAGTTTACTAACGTTAGCCATTGTTTATTGATGAATAGACTGCAGTGTGGCAATACATCCAACCAGATATACAATGTACCATATTACTGTAAACATGATATTTTTGACCATCTAGTATTTAACAAGTGTTACCGCTGACAGGTAATTATAAGTACTGATTGACTTAATCATGGTCAGCGCCGCATGATTCCCTCCGCATGGCGGACTTTTTGCGAGTGTTACTTTAATGAAATGTTGAATTGAAACTAAACAGAAACAACAACAAAAGTTTTACGGAGACATTATTTTGTTATAATAACGGATGAGGAATTGGTTAGAGTAAAGAAGTGACCAGACACATTGTTTACTTACTCAGACACGACCGGAATGACGTCATCACCGTGTTCGTATGGAAGGAGTGTGACGTATGGTATACCGTTTATGCTGACCACCGCCTTCACCTGGAACAACGTACAGGTAATACTTTTATATTCCGGTTGTTGTGGGTAAAATATATAAGCAATAAACTGCATAGATGTTGCAGACTTTTGCTGCATAACTGCAATATGTGTCGCAGACAAACTGAAAGATGCACAATAGTTCACCATAAGTTCGTCTTCGACAGCTTTTGAATCATAAACAAATAAGACCCATTTCACTCACAATGCAGTCATACTCGAAAGCACCCTCACACAAACTCGGTACATACTTAATATTCCCTTTCTCAAAACATAATTAAAACAAAAAGCAGTAAAAAAAGGGAGTGAGGCATGTCAACTTTCATCATACCATTTGCAATATCTGTAGAAAACAAATTGAACAAAACAAACTCCATCCCCAAGAGTTCCACGACATCCATGACAGCTAAATAGAAGTCCAGGGTCATTTGTTGTGACACATGCAACGCTCCGTTCCGTGTCGTCGACTGCCAGGACTGTTGGTTTACGGAGTTACCTATTGCGTCCTCATTTGTAATAAGAAACTAACTCAACAAATACAATCAATAAAGCTAGAATGAACTTCCAATCCTTATGTCTAAACACCTCAAATTCCCTTTCCATTCTTCCCCAATACAGTCAAACAACAAAGGCCAAAGGTAGGAAGTATGTTTAACAAGGGCGTTATTTTTCGAACCAACACTATATAAAGGTATTTGAACCACACTACGAAGATGTGTGGGCAGACATCACCATGACAAAGGATCACCTTACTACATATGATATCTTAATGATATTTACCTACTGGTAGACAATAATGATAACCTCACTGCCGAACTATATTGCAATTTTGTAAACCAACAAAAAACTTTCGCTTACCTGTCATTTCTTATTCCACCAATCAGATTTGAACCTCAGCATTGACGTCTTAATGGGATAAAAGTTTGACGGCATAACTTTATTGCAATCAAATGAAATTTTCGTTTTTCCTGAAATCTTGGAGACTAAATGACACTCACCAGTGGACAATGCATAGCAAGCAGTTGTGCTATTTCAGCCCCTTTAGACACAGCGATGATTCCTATTCCCCCAGGCTGGACATAGGGGTGGTCATTCAGATACTGGGCGCCTTCCTACACAAACAGAAAAGGTGTACTTTGTATAACATTGGGATAAGATTGCTTTAGTTTAGCAACAAGACTTATGCTGTAACAAGTATGATGTCATAAGTTTTAAACTTTGAGCAAACCATGTGTACAAGTAAAGATAGGTGTAAACTTTATATTGTGCTATAGGCGCATGGTATTGAAGATACATGTATATTGTATACATTTTGTATATATACACAGAGCTATAACGTTTAACTTAAGTTCTAATGTAGAGCCAGTAGTGACATAACGCATTATACTTGTATTGCACTTTCTGTTACCTACACATGCGCACCATAATGCTTTCATTTCCGGTTTTTAAAATGACCAACTCTAATGTCAGTCCCTGCAACATCGCCCTGATTATTTATAATAGTTTCCGACATATGTTAAAAACATCATTCATTTTGTATTTACCTTAAAGTAGTCGAGGTTCTTGACCTCTGTAAAATGATTGGGCAGGTCTTTATAACCAAAAAAAGCCAGGGCCAGCACGACAAAGCCCCTGGAGGCCAAGAGGGAGGCGCGGAATTCAAGGAGCCCGCCCGCTGAGCCGAATAGATCAAGCACCCCCGGAAATGGTCCAGGGCCTACGTTCAAGTTCAAATTGTCATTAACATTTAAGGGTATACCCATTAGCTGTAATGCTCATTACAGTAAATACCAGACAAACTTAGCGTGACCTTCAGTTTAAATGATATACTGTGTATATTGATCTAACAATAAAATAAACATGTTTCAATACAGACATTTTATTTATTTTAAGACTAAATAGAAGAAGGAAAACAACTTGAAACTAAGACGAAGACGTAAACATCTGGATAAGAAATTGGGGCAATGAGTAATGTCATAAAACAAATTAAGCATACACAAACTGATAAAGTAGAAACATAGTAAACACATTTCTTGTTCAGACGAACTAAATTATGACGTGTTGTCAATTTAATTATATTTACTGGTCATGGACACCATGCCTATTACCTGGCGGTATAAACAGCATGCCCCTTATATTTCCCACCTCCACCGGAAGTCGCTTCACGTCCTTGCTCATGTACCACCGGAACACCTTAGTCATAGACAGAGGCAAAACTGAAACCTCGTGAAGGTGATCGAAAGTCCGATGTTCGGTGTAGACTTCAAACTTCAGCACTTGTTGGGTTGTCACGTCCTTCTTAAAGAGACGTAGCCCCGGCCGCTGACCTGGAATCTGGCACATACTCCACACAAGTCCCATCTGGTCAACTCCTACATAACAACACAGCCAAGAATAGTTAGGGTTAAAGCTTACACACAACACAATATTCTGAGTTTACCTGTACATTTCTTTAAAAACATCTGTTCAATGTAAAAACTATTTAACATGATATGAATGCAACGTTTCGAAATATCTCCCTATAAATCGTCAGCTGTTAACGTTGGAACGACAGTGATAAAAGTAAAACCCGTGGCTTTTCCTGATTAGGTCCAGATACTTTCCTTAGAATTTTAGAGAAGTTTCTGATGTCCAAGGAATTTGTCAGACAAGTCAGGACTTTCCGTTGGTGTCCGGTAAGGCTAAACACGAAGGGAGAGAGAAGGAGGGAAAAGGGCGACGTGAACGCAACAACATGGCAGCGAGGGCTTCATATGACCAATGTCGACAGAAGCAATTCAATGGCATCCGATATGTCACAACATGGATATAATACCCTGACACCCCATCCAGTTACACTATACCAACAACGGAGTAGTCTGAGGTGACTAGGACAATGACCAGTAAAGACGAAAATAAATGTCTTTAGTGTCGCGATTGCGGCAGCCGAATTGTTTTTTATTTCTTCAATTTCTCAAAGTTTTAGAAAAGACTCTAATCTTGTGATTCAACATGCCAGTTCCTTATAATCTTCCCCATTAGTTGAAGGCATGCGAAGAGGAGGGAACGGGGACCTGATGGCGAGGAATGGATAACACAACGACATGGCGACAGGAGTGTTACCTCTACGTCATCTAATCAATCCTTTGTCGTCGTGTCGCCTTCGCTCCCTTATGCAATTTCAATGTATTATTACTTTGGTAAATGACATTGAGGGCGCACCTGTGTAGGTACCGGATAAGGAAGGCTGGACACTGACATCGATACAGCCATCACTGTCTGCTACGTAACAACCGCATGCGCTGAACTTCATACCGTCCTCAGCCACCACGGAGCGGATGGTCACTCTCTGTTCCGGACCTAGTCCAGTTACACGGAGAATAAAAGTTTCGTCCACCAAAACCTCCTTTGGGGAAGCCGATATCACAACATTCCCCGCCATGTCGGCTCCTTATCAGCTGTAACAATAACACATGATTATAAACGCCAGTTTAACAATTTGCCAAATAATTCTAACAATGAATATGGCACTAGTTAACTACAATTTATCATAGCTCACTTCCATCATCAATTTACAATTAATTAGCAATGAAATATACAGCTACTTAACAAAACAAAAAACGTGGATATGTCTGCCTGTAGAAAAACCTTAAACATTTTGTAAGATGACGTTTTAGTTGTTTAGAAGATTGGGGTGAGTTTTGTTGTTAGCAGATCTTTCCTTTCTTTCGTTGAATTCAGTCATGTCTAACGCAAATCGGCTACCTCAATGATGGGAAAGCTTTGGCACTCATGAATACGTTGCTCGTTAGAACACAAAGTAAAACCACGATAAATTAAGTCAAAGTAATCCTACAAGCTAGAAAAGTACAAAGGTTTGGTGCCTAAACAAAAGTTCATCAATGGCGAGACTGTCGAAAGAGGACGGAGCGGGGTACCATCAACGGGATTTTTTTTCTTTTCAAAACACCACAAAACTGTTTACATATATGTTATGCTATGTTTTCTAACTGGATATTTTAGATGGGATGTCGTTATAAACACCCTGATTGCTGAACCTTAAATAGTATTTACAATGCTTCATTTGAATCCACAATATACCTTTCCCTGACATCATTTAAGTTAAATATTTCATATTAATGTTAATGGTAATAAATTGATGGTAGTCTTTACCTTAGGATAATAAGTTTTGGACAAAGTAGCTAGACATATTTAAACTCCCGAACAGCCCTCTTCGCGAATTCAGGATAAAACACAGAACTCGCCATATCAAATATTATAGGTAATATATATGGGTCAAAGAAGTAATATAGACGGTAAAATCCCATATAACACTGGATCCTAATGGAGTTTGTCCATAGGATACGAATTACTTAAAATAGTATATGGGGCAAAGAAGTAATTACCACACTGTTGGAATTACTTCTTTGCCCCATAGGTAATATATATGTATAGTACGTACACGTATTTCATGTTCTATGTTGGAGGTATATGTTTAAATCAGGCCCAACAGTCAATATCAAATTAATTCAGATTTCATCGTGTTTCCCAAACATCTATTTAAAGACTTATTTGTAATTCAAATATATTTTATCATACTAAATCTTATGAATAAATTATCTTTCAAGTTGTAACTTGCCGTCGTCTACATGATTGTGCACTAGTCCGCGTAGATAAATAAACCTTTTCCGACACGATACTTAATCGGAAGTTGAATGACTCATTTTGAAAAAAAGAACAGATTTTACTGATGTCAACTGCAAGTTATCACAGTCAATGTAAACAAATCATAGACCGGACAATACAAAGGGAGATTACTCTCGTGAAACTTAAGCTCGCTTATCTCCTAGAGTCATAATTCCGAACAAATTGTTACCTGTTGGGCTATGCTACCGATTGAAAAAATCTTACCTTCGGTACACTTTTTCAACCAGCCGTGGGCATATCAATGAGAGGATAGGTAACACCCCCATGTGTACGTAGCTTGACTCTAAAGGTCGGGGTTACACTAAAATTCGAGCATGGAAATGAGCCGGTTCTTACATTCCGGATTGTACTGGTGTTACTAAAGTTTTGGGCGGGAGTTTTGAAAATGTTTGAGAATACATATATTAACAATAATAATAATAATAATAATAATAATGAATGAATGAATACATTTCTAAACACAAACACACACAAACACACCCTCACACACATTAATGAGCTTACAACCTATATAGGACACTTTACTTTTCCGTGCCAAATGAGGACGCGACTTTCCTAAATGAATAATTTTGAATGAAAATTTCATTTTACACATATCTTGATAATGCCATACTCGTAAGCACATCTGCATTTTGATAATATTACTTTTCGCCCTGTTGATTTTTTTTTATCTTTAACACATGACTTTCGGTGTCTGTCTGACTTGGGGGGAAAGACGGCAACTCACGATCTAGCTTTTTGCACGTCAACCCAGAACATACTTTGTAATATCTTCATAAATTCAAATACATTCACGCGTGTTTCCCGTCACTAAACTGCAAATTAATTAACATCAAAAGTCTGGAAATAGGCTAAACCAGGATACATTAACACAAACGGAAACTTTCACACGCAGGAATTTGACACAAGTTTTAACAACCTAGCTACCGATGTCCTTTTCTTCAAATATACATACACATACAATATAATAGATATGGCAATATTACGCAAATGTGTAAATTGCATGGGAAAGAAGGAGAGAGAGAAACGAGTAGTGACAAAGCGAGGCAGTGTAATAGAGAAAGACAGTAAGACAGACAGGCAGAGATAAACGATAAATACATCTTATTCTACATAACGACTAATTAAAACCAAAAGACAGATAAAAATAGTAATGAATAAATATATAAATTGAAATAATAATGAATAAAAATATAAAACATATATAATTATACATACAATTTAATGATAACGGTAATAAGAAGCACTTTCAACAAATATATAAGTAAACTGACTGCTAGTACCAGTGCTCCGTTGCTCGTTTAATAGGGATATGTGTAATTTTGTAGTTGTGTATTAGTTTCTTGTTGTTAATCACACAGGCTTTGCTTAGACACGACCTAAATGCTAAGACACGACTAATTTGTATTTATACTTCTGTATAAACACTAGAACGTTTGTAAAACTACCAAACCTAGCTGTCATTCATGCCAGCGATACACGAATTTTCTCTATAAATGTATGTTCTGCTATGCGGGATTTTAATTAATTGTTATTTCTGTCAGCTAAGACAGTCAGCCATGCAGATGAAAAGCCGGAAATCTAGATTCTGGTTGATGGTTTTATATACTACAATATTCACACCGGGTATCCCGATACAATGAACCGGAGCAGGCACAAATAACGCAGAGTATAATTCCTCAATAGTTTATCGAGTGTGGAAGGGTTGATGTTGTTGTAAAATAAACTTAGACATTGGTCTCTACTTCAGTTTATTCAAGTGTTATCTTAAAGACTGATCATAAGTGGACATATCTGTGAAATTTGGAGTACGAAGGGCATCGTTGAAGCCATTTGACGAGTCATTTAACTTTTTACACTGTTTATTTTCTGTAATATTTACACTTTTATTAACTTTAAAACGTTTTATGTGCTTTCTTGAAAGACCCTACAGGTAGGGCGTTAGAATCGTACCTGCTGTCCCAATTGCATGATCGTAAGAGGCGACCAGGGATCTTATCTTCTCTCTTCTTTCTAAACAACTTTCTTTTCCCTAATGTCTCCATTGACAATGCTTCACTTTTGGCCTTTAGTTAACGTTCGCCCCAGTGAGGAAGGCTTTGGGTTCTGTCCCCTGGCCGAGACATACCAGAGTCTGTAAAAATGGTAGTTTCTACCCCTGCTTAACGCTCAGCAATTTAGGATACGCGCTATCACAAGGAGACAAATTAGTATAATGTAACCGGGTGGGGTTTCCTGCTGGGTGTCTGCGGCAGTGTGTTTCAGTGAGGTAGCACTATAAAGTCGGCATCAGTTACGCGCTATCACAAGGAGACAAACACGAACATATCGCAGCCTCCCAAAGTTTAGTTTAAACATATTTTATTGTACAAATATACAAGTGGATTGGACAAGAAGTTATAACAACTTAATAACAGTCCTCTCCTAAATACATATGGTAAATACAATGTATATGTTTTTTGCCGCACTCCAAACCACATGGCGAAAATTATTGAGATCTGAACTTTGGAAGTTGACAAACACTCTTACAGAAAAATTCGTGCCGGAAGTGTAGCTTGTTGTACTGCGTACTGATAAGAAAATTACTGGCATTGGAGAGATGTTATGTAGAGTCTAAATCGTTATACAAGTCTAGTAGCTGGTCACCGCCGAGCACCGACACAGAGGTAAAGTACAGCTGTGAGGTGTTTCAAAAGTACTGTGGTAACTGTGATCTGTTAACATACAAACAATAAAGTATGGAGTTAAAACAACTGCATATAATAAAAAACAATTAAAGAGAAAATCTAGAAGTTCAACAGCCCTTTTTCTTGAATAGGACTGCGTATTATTTAAAAGTTCCAAATTATAATTAATCTCTTCACAGTCTGCATCCATATTCAACATGATTGCCGGCTAAAACGTAACAGATTCCATGAAGCAGATGAGCGCTTCATACTGAATTGTCATATAGGTTTACGTATACAGTGTGTGTGTATCGTGGATGCTTGTTCAATGAACAGAGCAGCAATGTTCAAGGGAGGGTCAGTGCTTAAAACAATAATGTAAGCAGTGAACAAGTTTCCGTCATTCATAGTCGAAACAACATGTGTTTATACTGTACTCACTCTCGTTGTGTTATTGTGCATGAATTGCACGCGTCAATTTAAATTTGAAGTCAATTTGGTTACATGTATCTTTATTTTATTTCATTTCTGTAGAATGTTTGTTATCCGACATATTAAACTCTAGTAATCATTGCTCCTATCCCATGTTTAGGGAGATGGGGAGGTGGATGATCTTTGGCGTATTGGTGGTACTGGTAGGAGAAGCACTGGGTGAGATTTTATACAGATTTTGATAAAATTAAGCTTATTAATCACGCTGCAGTCTGACAAAGGTATTATATAAGGCTTTGTTTACAGTTAGTAATTGAATCTGAAAAAAAATGATGAAAAAAATAACAAAATACAAAATATCAGAAATGCACTGATGTATTCAGGAAAACAATTGTTTCTCTAGTGACCAGAGAAGGTAATAGCCTTGAAACTTTTCAACGCGTATTTTACTGCTATAATTTTGCAATGTTATGTTCAATCAAAATCACGTTCCCTTATCTCGCTCTAACAGGGGCGACTTATCAGTTGGTGACCCAGAAGAAGTCCTTCTATGACGCCGAGCACTACTGTCAGACCCATGGTGGTCACTTGACCTCCGTCCACTCTGCCGCCGAAAACCAGCACGTGTACAACCTATGTAGACAGCGTACGTACATTAACGTATGGTAAACATGACATAAACTACAACAATATCTGTATTTAGATATGTAAACACCGTGATATAACTATAATAACGCTTGCAGAATGTTTGACTTGTACAACCTAAACTACATTTTATAATATACTTGCGTTTGAAACATATTATATCTAAGGGTGGGTATCAGAAGGAAAATAAATATATACAGAAAAACTAAGTTAAGTGAAAACCAATTCAGCTAGGACTAATAACATAAGGTTAATATATCTTTGTACGGTGAACTTTTCAGTTCTAACTATTGCTCATTCATCCTCGATACTCTAGGGTTTACGCTCACTTTCTCTCTCTGCACTCATGGAATATGTCATAGCGAAATTGAAAGCACGCGGTTAGTTATTGGATTGATCGCAGGTAAAATAAACTGACCAATCACTAGGCTGATATCTGTTTTTTGAAGATTACAGAGGAACAACAGCCAACCTTAAAACCAGTAAATGTTACCGTCAGGCGACCGGGAACTTCTATTGATGTACACCAAAGGATAACACTAGTCCTCTTGTCTCACCAACAAATTGGCACACACTGAGCCTTCAAATTAGCTATGACATATTCCAGGGGTGCAGAGAGCGAAGGTGAGGCGTAACCCCTGGAGTAGCGAGGGTGTTGCTCATAACGTTGCATTGACATGCACAAGTTATCTTCGTTACGACAAAATACGCACCAAATCTGACTTGGTAACGTATAACATCTCGTCTTGATAAAACGGATTTTTTCCCCTTGAAATATCAGTGTTGTCTTTTTAAACGGTTATAGATTCTGGCCGTTACTGCTGGATCGGGCTGGAGAGAGAGTCGACTGGCCACTTCCGGTGGACAGATGGATCAGCTTTCAGCTACAACAACTTCCACTCTGGTGAGGATTTGCATACGTTCGTGGGGGAGGAAACACTATAACAGGCAGGAATCATAGCAATGATGGACCGACCCATAAATATCAATGATATACAACTGAAACTAACTATAGGCATTGCTAAGAACTTATAGTTAATTAAATTTAGTTTCAAGATTGTTTTGATGCCAATATATTGCAGTAACACACTATATATACAGTGTACACGATGCAAGGTTTTGACAAGTACAGAGTACTTATATATTCATCCATCTCCTGACTGGCGTTTTTTTCTTTAAACCAGGTGAGCCAGACAATTATAACAATGAGGAGGGTTGTGCGCTGATGCCCTTGCATGACTCTAACTATCCTAACGGCCTGTGGAGCGACAAGAAGTGCGTGGCTCATTACGATCTCTCTTACTTCGTGTGCAAGATGTCCGGGTCCTCACAGACACACACCAGTGCACCTGTCGTCACAAATCCGCCAAGTAACAATTGTTTCCTCATGTTTATTTCTTGGTTGACGATTACTGGAAGAATGTCCGGATCGCGGACGTAGAATGACTCTGGCTAATAGTTACAAGTGCCTCGCTTTTCATCGCTCTGCTACCATCACGGTTTTACGTAAAGTTGTCTTTATGTATAAGACATACTGGTCAAATGAATTATGTTTCTACAAAGTTATTGACCTTTTTCATTCTTCGACTACCTCCACATTTCATAGTAATGTTCCGATTGTCATGCTGATGTGTATAACCATCAATCATATTTGTCCTGTAATGTTAGCAGTTATCTGTTTATCCCAGCTTTTGGCCATTATTTCGGATGCCAACGGATAATCTTAATTAACTTACATCTCAGTCTAGTCTATCGTGTATTTGTTTTTCGTTAAAAGGTAAAATCAAATTAATTTAGACAATATCAGTACACAAGTCTAGCTATATGAGTTTGTTGTACAGTTGTAAAACTTCTGTGATCAAACCTGGGTGGGGGGGATTATATGTTGTGTAAATAACCTAAAAAATGACGGTTACCATCCATGCAGGCAAAACGTAATGATGTACCTTTTTATTACATGTGGTATCATTCACAGGTCAAACGCTTACTTCTGGCACACACAAGTTGTATGTACAAGGGACAAACCTGATGATGGACGGACATCGTGTCTTTTTGTCCGGTACTAACCAACCGTGGGTTGCTTACGCCTATGATTTTGGGAACCACCAGTATGCCTCGAGAAAGACTAAATTTGAGCAGGCTCTACAACAGGTCCATCAGGCTGGAGGAAACTCTATAAGTAGGTTTCACAGATTGGTAACTCCATACCAGTTGACAAAGAACTATATTAACTATAAATTGTACAAGTACAAATCTAAACAAAATATTATTTACTTGTCAAACACATAATATACAATATTACGCTTTAAACATTGGTACAACATTATATTAAATGTGTCTAGCGATAAGTGGCTCACTGAACACGTAAATTTAGCATCTATAATTAAAATCAGTAAAAGTCTGTAATATCTATCTGTATTAGTTAAAAGCCGTCTTTTCTATTGCATTTTGATGAACTTGTACTACTTGCTCGCGTAAACGTCTTATTAGAATACAGCTTTTTGCTAACTAGGTAGCTCAATTGTTGAGCTTATGAACGAAATCAAATTTGAAGGATTAGACAGTAGTAAACTATGTGTTTGCAGCGTGAACTAATACTGATGGACTTTTGACTCGAACTAGATCTAACTTTAAGGTGCGGCTCTAGCAATTGTAATGGCATTGTTGAATTCGCGGTTTAATCCTTCAACAAAAAAACCGGAAAATAGCATTACTGCGAAAATTACCTGGTATACAGTATGCCTTGCAATGGGAGGACGCGGCTCAACTATAAATAAATCGTGTTTTAATGTTTATTGTCTTAGTTCCGACGTCACAATGCATGCTATTACGGGAGCTAATACGCAAAATGTAACGTTTATTGTTTTCACTGCATCACACGATATTCATCTTATAAATAGGAACGTGGATACATATTGAGGGGGAGACATCTCCGCAGTTCTCCAGCGACGGTCATGTGACGGGATTCGATAGGGACGGCACGTTCATTAGTGACATGCGAGAATACCTTCAGGCCGCGAGGCGTTATAATATCCTCGTCTTCCCTACACTTTGGAACGCGGCTGTCAACCAGAACTACCACTACCGTTTAAATGGTCTAATCAAGGATCAGTCTAAGCTCCAATCCTACATTGACCACGCCCTCATCCCAATGGTTCAGGCTCTAAAAGACGAGCCGGCCCTTGGTGGTTGGGACATCATGAACGAGCCCGAGGGCGAACTTAAAGCAAATGTGTTCAGCGCTGACCCATGTTTTGACACAAGACCACTGAACAACCAGGGTCCCGGTTGGGCCGGTAAACTATACACGGCCCAGGAATTCGCCAAGTATGTATTATATTGTCAGATCAAATAGATCGTTATCTTTTACGTGGGATATTCATATCGGGAGATTGTGTTGTTGTTCAGGTATGTCCATCCGTCCTTGGATCGGTTGTTCGGTTCCTTCTTAGATTAACGATGCATTAATAAATACAAAATTGCAATTAACTTTGCATAAACATAACTTCTCAGATTTCTGTTTTGCGATCTGACTATACTTTCTAGGAAATCATATCAACACTATGGAATTGTTTATTACTGAAATAACAATTATGAAAATCAATAGCGATTAAAATCTGACTCTACAGTTCTTAAAATCATCAAGAACGTCTGCCATAGGTCGCCACTAGTACCACTCACTAAATTGCTGCAGTATCTAAAAAGGCCAATGCTGTGTGAATAGTGTTCTTATTTTCTTAGCGTGCTTCCACTTGCAGATTCATCAACTGGCAGGCTGATGCCATCAAGCGGGCCGATCCTCAGGCTATGGTGACCGTCGGTGCTTGGAACCCCAAATCCAACACTGATAACTTTGGCTTCCACAACTTGTACAAAGACGAGTGTCTAAGGAAAGCTGGGGGGAAGCAGTTGGTGAGTGCAATCATTATTAGCTTACGGTGCTGGGGGGAAACGGATTGTGAGCGTAACCATTAGCGTATATTGAAAGCTGATCGAAAACAATTAGTAAGTTCATTGATTCGTGTATGTAAAAACTAAGGGTGTGTGTGTGTGTGTGTGTGTGTGTGTGTGTGTGGGGGGGGGGGGGGNGTGCAAAGATATGAAAGCTGATGGGAATCAGTTAGTAAGTACAAAGATTAATATTAGACGCGGAGGTTAGAGGGAAACATTAAGTACAATTACTTGAAAACAAGTCTTGGAAATCCTTGAGAGAAAACGTTTTTATGGTCGAGTGTCTTAATAAAGAAATCGAAATAATCGCCGAGTCTTAAAAGCACTGCTGTTCACTAAAAGTTTAAGTGAAAAACATGTTTTTAATCATTGTTTTCATTCATAAAATTGATCACAAACGGATTGCTTTGTGATCTATCGACACTGTGTATAAATTATGGTTTCTCTTATTTTAGGGAACCCTCACCTTCTACTCTGTACATACGTACGATAATAACGGTCATTTTGATGGACAGTCCCCTTTCCAGGTACGTTGTTTGGGATTCTTTTGTTCCTGTTACTTTGTGTGTTGTTATTGGTGAAACAAAATAATAATTCACTAAACGGATACAAGATATCATATTTAGCACAAATACTCTCATTTTCAGTCTCACGATATTTATCATCAATTGTGTAACTATACACAAACAATATAGAATCGTTCCAAGTTTGTTGTATGGTGTGGATTTCATATATGAATTTGCAAAAAAAACAAAAAAAACTCTATGCAGTTGATTACATGTAAATAAAAACAAACATAATTCAACTGATTTAAGGAAACTGTTGTGAGGTTAATATTTAAAACAAAACCGACCTCCTGTTCTTCAAATATTAACTTAATATCAGCCTGTCCAATTCACATTATGTTCAGGTTTGCTTTGGGATCCTCCTGTTGATATCATTGTATATATTTAAGTGGGTTAAATCATGACAACGACATTCAAAATTATTCATCTAGTGATTTACCCTTTACAGCATAGTTTCAGTGATTTTGGTCTAGACAAGCCTGTTGTTATAGCGGAGTTCAATCAGAATAAAGGAGGCGGCATGACCTCACAACAACAATACCAATATGCATACAACCATGGATACTCGGGCGCATGGGCATGGGCCTACGACAAAGACTGGTCAACGGAACAAGACGGCGTGTCTGCTATTCGATCGAAAAACGACCAATCAAAGGGCGGCCTAGTTGCGATCAATTTGAATTAAAATTCTGTTGAATGTTTCAAGTTGTTTTTCGTGTATCAATCACGTGTTGGATTTGTTATCTAATATTACATTTTGCTCTGTATATGCAGAAGTTTCCCGTTAGTTCAGCCGACTCAATCTTTTTACTTTTTTTCCCTGGTGAACAAAATGGCTGTATTATTGAGACTCCGCTTCATATGATCATGTGTTTCGTAATGCACGATGTTTAAGATTTCAGATGAGTTCGGAAAAAGGTCTGGATTCTATTCCATGCATCCTCCTGAGCGCGCGCGTGCTGCTCTCTCATCCCTCCGATAAGAAAAGTCATACCTACAAGGAAAATAACAGAAGAAAGTCATTGAATAACACCTGTATGTATCATGTCGAAGAGACGTGTACAGAATGTTCCAATTATATATTAATCAGTTAAAATATCGTGTATGTGTAAGGTTAAAAAAAGAAAGAAAAACAAATGAGAATCAAAAACTGTTAATATTTAGAGCTAAATACAACTTAAAATTCAATTATGATTGAAACCGAGAAGAAAGAAGTTCCACGAAGTGTCGTAAGACAAATGTTATCATTTTCAACTCGCTTCCATTACGCTGTCCTTAGTCAGTATTTAAAAGAGAGTTTTAGGAAGCCGGTAAGCCAGACATATATACAACACTCACGGAAAAATTTATGATAGGCCAGCTGAGTGACGGGTGTGAATGGAGGTTCGATCAAGTGTCCCGCTCCTTTGTATAATACTAGTTCTATTTTGTCCTTATGTTCTTCCGGGAAGTCATCATATTGCCGCTGCTGCAGACGACAGTCGGTCAACTGGTCATCTGAACCACAAATACTGAGAAACGGCAAATCCCTCTCCCACAACTGAATATCAAACAGAACAGAGAGTATATGAGTAGAGGGCAATGTGATGGTTGCCGTGCTCTGCGGTTTCTTGGTGTCTTAGGGTAATGTTTAAGATTAGAGCAGAGGTGGTATGTTCGAAGAATGTTGGTTATATTAAAGCAATGATTGCATCGTTAAACAAACGTTGTAGGCATTTAAGGATTGTGTGATGCATTAGAGAATAAAGAAAGTGGGTGGAAGCTCACAAACGTATAACACCACCAACACACACACACACACCATACTGATAAGGAAATGGAGTGGCTGATGACTACGGAAATCTGATAAGGTATAAAACGCACTGATTCTATACTATGGTGTACATATAAACCTAATTTGTTGAAAGTTTGAGAAAGGTTGTGCACAAACTTATTAACTTAAAAAATGTTCAAGAGTGATCTGTGGCCCTTACAACTTGATCGACGACCACCAAATTCTAATCAAGTTTAGAACTCATAACTGTATCATGATATGGTGTGAATATTAACTATATGAATTATCTTGTAAAATCGTTTCTTTCCTACGGACGGACGGGCTGGTGGACGGGCAGATTGAGCACAGTATATCTTACGTTTTCGAAAACGTCAAGGACAAAAAGTATTCTAGGCAATTTAATAGAATGAATTAACACACATATTTTGAAGCATTTTCCTTAGGTTGATATCATTTGTATACAGATTCGTGTAGCACAACGTATGAAATGTTTGTGAAATATTGTAAAGACTAGAACCATATCTTCATCCGACAAATTTGCAAAGTATGTACAAGATTACACTAAAATCGACAAGTGCATTCGTCTTTGCTTCAGTGTATGCCATGTTATAAATGTAAGAAATGAAAATCAAATTGAAAATTCCTTTTGTCTACACTTTGTTTAATACCTAGTTATAGATGTGCAAGAGTATATGAACTGGGTTTTGCCGAGGCTGATATTCTGATATCCTAGGTTTCGGAGGTTTTGAAATCTACCTCATAACCAACAAGCATTATGACGGGGAAAAAATGCTTTCATAAACTAGACACAGACTGCCGTCATGGACACCGACGAACATGACAGCAAGGTCCAGGACATTAAAACATAGGAACACCTTCAGACACTAACTATCATCCTGTCTAAATCAAAACAAGCGAGTAAGATAACTGCATCTCCAATACAGTCGCATGCATCCCACTCCAGAGACCCTCCTAAAATGCATCGTAGACCAAAGATCCATTACCAGAGGAACCTATTAAGGCATGTTGTGGGACTGTAGTGGCCCCACTGGATACACTGTTTCCGCGTCCCTAACATGCTTTGACCGCTAGTAGGTAAATCGGAACATCGTGACAAGAACTCGAAACATGTACACGATCATGCCTGTAAAAAAACGAGGAATTCATTCTACATATTTTGTTCTTTCTATTTTTTCTCGTACCCTTTGATGATGCATTTATTCCACGCCGCTTAAAGCTAAAAGGAAGAATCAACAGCACAATGCCTTGTCTTGACACCCTACTGGTCGAGAAAGATAACGGAACTATTAAGGTATTGGACTAAATCATTAGGCCGCAAACTGACCAATACCTTAACTTTAATCACTCATCGTTTGCATCAGAAGTTGTGGTACGCAATTTCTCAAAAGATGCGTTTCAGTTCTGACAGAGCAACAGGACAATAATCAGAAAAAACCGGATTCAAATTGGTGGAACAATAAAACATGAATATCTAGGGCGAGGACTCAAGGGGCGTACAAAATTGTTCAAAGTAAGGGGGGGAGGGGGGGGGGGGCAATAAAAGCCAGTCAAGGATCAAGGAGAGCAACAAATTAATTATCAGAAACCATAGTGCGGCCATGGCGTAGCAACAGCCGTGGTGCCCCTGAGTACGCTTCATTGAACACCGTAAGAATAAAACATCTTATGATAACGCGTGTACAAAATCGGATGTTGGAACTGTAACATACAATGTATCATAGTAATTTTGAGAGTAGTTCGGTGTCCAATTTGGTGAACAAAGGAAAGGCACGGAAATCCGAAGAAGGAACTAAATTCATCCCATCGGAAAGGAAACACTTGAAGTCAAAACAATAAATCGGCAATTACAGATCATGCATGCACACAGCCAAAACATGTGATTGACTTGTGTTCGAAAAATAGAGAGCAACCTGTTCAAGCGGTAGATAAGGGGAGCCAGCTGGATGCGCAGACTGAGCGGGCCAGTTCTGAATCAAAATAGGCGCGATCCAAGACTCTCGACCATCTAGGGCAAGGTTTTACACGCGTGGTCGAATCGATTTGTCAATTTGATCGTCACCTCTTACATTTCTTCTATACGCTCTACCAGTGTTTTGTTGGATGAAGGTGACAGGGTATACATCCTGCTAGTCATCGAAACGTCACACAAATATTTCATTGGCTGTTCTATATTAATTGTATACGGACTAAACGTATAATTGTTTGAATATCTTACCGGGAAGAAAGAAGCGTTTTCCTTTGGGACCACACAGTTTTTAAATATAACATAATTTTCACGAGTAAACTCCAGTTTAGAAGTATCCATTCTGAAATGAAAAGAAACACTATTGTTGAATGAATTCCAAATATTAATATGGTAGACAGCATATTACTACCACGGTGATGTTCAAGAACACACTACAAATATCACATCAATATAAAAACAGACACAATACAATTAACACGCCAAGATCGGCAAAGCTTATTGCGAAATTCTATTAAAATATGCCACAGTATATTACAAAGTAGGCTCCCCGAAAAACAAGTTATGTCGAACCGAATATTCATAATTATGATTTGGCAACTATTCAGCTCGACTCATCAAGGATATTTTTCAATTAAAACTAATAAAAGACGTTTGTCTAGCAAAAATGATGCTGTGACTATAAAAACTCTGAAATTTTGTCTTTTAGAATTTTCTTGATGAACATTTAATATAATTATAATTACTTGTATGAAGTGTGGGGAAAATAATATCCATAACTCTTTCTTACATTTTGTTTGAAAAAAATATGCAATATAGATACTTTCAAGTGGACATAATAAAAGTGAAAATAATTTTGAATAGAATAGGAATATTGCTATCTATGCTACTCGCTTCGCCTGTAAAATCAACCTGTCACAATTACACCATCGACGTACATATTATCTCCTAAATCATCTTTTTTATTCGACAAAATTCTAATAGAAGGCGTCCTGGATCCGTAGCTTCATTAACGTATAGTTCTACTTTACTTGGCAGCATTGACCACTTACGGTGCCGCCGGTTCCAGTGTCTCGTCACCGTTCCTGATGGCGACAATAGACAGGCAAGGAAACCCGTTAATGCTGACGACAGCACGCACCTGTCGGTGGAATAAGCTGAACATTTTATGTCTGCATAAAGAATATGTACTGATCTGAAGGGAGTCAAATATAGGCCAGCTTTAAAGTGGACTGCATGTAGACAAAATGTTGTTAATAAAATCATTGATCTTTAATGCAACGAATTGTTACGTCAATGTGAAGGTCACAACTAGACAGAGTTGTACGTGAGCACTTGCATGTATATGAGTTCGAATGATATTTTGACGGAGCTTGCAGACAAAACATACATTTTGGAAGGTTGAAAAATATCAAATTTTAAACTTGCAGATCTGTGAAGGGGTAAAAACGTATATATACATAGATTCGTAGCGGTCAAACCGTCAAACATAAATGGTCTTCATTTTGAAGAGCTCAATATAGCGTACACAAAGCATGGCTTTAAATTTAACTTAAAAGGATCAAAACAGCAAACCGAGACAGAGTTTTGTTGGGCAAAACAACAGCCATAGCCGCACCATTAAAGGAGTTTAAAACCAAACAGACTTCGTAGGTGTCACTTTACGCGACATACACACAACTCTAAACACAAACTATCAAAAGTCTTAAGGAAAAGCGAATGTTCAGATTTTTTCATGAAATAGTATTTACATTTGCTCTGCATCCTTCCATTGCAATGTATTGAAGAGGCAAATGTTGTTGTGAGACTATAACAACATTTGCTATTGTAACGTCATCAATCTCTATTGTGACGTCATCAATTTCATTGTTGTCAAGACTTATTTTGTTTTTCAAAGAACTGTTCGAAATAACTAAACAAAGTGTAACTACTTTATCAAAATGTAAACATAAATTATGAATATTTTAGCAAATATTGTTATTGTTATTGTCCTGTCGCACACATTTCTATTGCTGACAAACTTACATGTCATCACTAGCAATATGTGTTATTATACCATACCATTTACTAAAACATTCATTGCTAAATTGCCATCCTTTTCTTTTTACAATTTGAGCGGCGAAAACATACAAAAGTTGGTCTAAATAGCCAACATTGCCAAAACTAAAGTTACAACGTTGTAGTAGTCTTCAGGGTAAGCACCAGGTTAAGAACAGACATGGCTTCCTCGTCTTAACGAAAAAGACTGACAAAGCCATGGCTTGGTCTGAAGAACATACAATTATATACTAGTAAGAGGATAACGCGTTAAATATTGGTCTACAATGGAAGTATGAAGATTGTGGTGGACTGAATATACAAATAGAACCTACCTGTGGACAATGGATTGCTATCAGTTGGGCCAACTCCCCGCCCTTGGATAATCCTAGTATACCTATTCCGTCCGGAATCACGCTTGGATGGCTACTGATCAAATGGACAGCTTCCTAAAAGATCATGCACTTAATTATATGAATATTCATATGTGTCAAGATCTAAAGATATAAGACAAACAAAACAGATGAGTCCATAGGAAAATCTATCTTTGTAACTGCCAACACCATAAGGTTCATTTAAGTGTAAAATGCTCCCGTGGAAGAATATTTGACAGAATGGTGCTTTTAAAACTTAAAACATTTATTTAATTGAAGATCTCTAAACTGAGATTTATCGTATACACCCTGGTATGTGTTAACACTCAACTTCTATATTTTACAGCAGTTTAACAGGCTGCTGTTCGGTCAAATCGATATAAATGCTATCGAATGAATGTTATAGAAAACAACAATAACATCATCACTTTAACATAAACGAAAAGGCTGTAAGTGACATTGATATAATAGGCACCATTTCTTTTAGTTAAAATTTGTATATCTTCCTCCACAGCGAAGCGAATCTTAACTGAAGGACCAACATTGTTACCTTGAAGTATCCAAGGTCTAGGTCCCAAAAGGACTTGGGTAGGTCCTTGTAGCCAAAGAATGCCAAAGCCAGAGTAACAAACCCTCTGGATGCCAGCATCGCCGCCCTCGAGTCTACGAGACCCCCCGCAGTACCGTACATATCGATCACTCCGGGAAACGGACCGGGACCTGTAACACACAGGAAAAATAGAGGAACGAGCAGGGGCACAGGTGAAATAACGAGACCATAGCCATTTTAGGAAAATTTTCAGAACGAGGGCACATACTGTACCGATCCCAAGTAAAAACGTAATCCTTTTAATTGTTTGATACATAAAAGAAGTATAAACAAAATCAGTATCATCCATGTTACGGTTTGTTCTGCCCTGGAATCTGCCCATGCAGAGCAAACCGTTACATGAAGAATACCTATAGACTTTCCATGTATAACGAATCGTTATAATGACAATACCCATAGCTTATCCAGGCGGAACAAACTGTTACTAAAGAATACCTATAGACTTTCCATGATAGAACGAATCGCCATAATGATAATACCCATAGCGCATCAGGGCAGATAAAACCGTTACATGGAGAATACCTTTAGATTTTCAAGGCATAACGAATCGTTATAATGACAATACCCATTGCTCACCCAGGCGGAACGAACCAGAACGAATCATTATAATGACACTACCGATATATCACCCAAGCAGAACAACATGGTGATTAACTACAGATTTTCCAGATAGAACGAATCGTTATAATGGCAATACCCATTGCTCTTCAAGGCAAATTAAACTGTTAGACAGAGAATACTCAGAGTTCATCTAGGCAGAACAAACCCTTACATGGAGAATATCCATAGCTCATCCAGGCAGAACGTTACTGTAAATACCGCTGTTGTTTTTTGGACTAATCACATCACAAGCATAATCATCGTTACTTCTTTGTAAAAAAGACTACTTAATAGAATTTCAATGCAATCTTGAAATCTGGTTCGTTCATCCAGGTAGAACGAATGGGGAAATTCCATAGATTATCCAGGCAGAACGACCCGTTACAGTATATACTGCTATTGCTTTAATACTGGATACACCCGTGACATAATCAGGATTATCATCTATATACTACTTTATAATTATCATTGGTTGTCAGTATGAGGAGATGTTGAGAACGACTTGAGAACAACCTGAGAACGGATTTTCCCATTCCCCAGCACTTGGGAACGTATTTTCTCATGAAGAACGTCTGCTCGCGCTAGATGACGTCCGAAACCGGAAACAGTGTCCACACAAAAGTGATCCGCGTCAGAAAATAGTCCGTCATTACATATCAACACAAAGTTACGGGAAAATATTGTGATAATAACAACACCATTTCAGGTGTAAATGTGGAAAAGCCAATGGTGATAGGATTGTTTTACAAATATTTTTTCAATGTAGTTTTAAGTTTCATTGTATTCCTCCGTGCAAATACATCTATTTGTTTACGTTTGTCACAGGCGATTGTTAACCATTGAACTAAGAAGTCATTTGGAGAACATGGTGTTTAGTTGTGTTTTTTAAATTGAAAAATATATAAGGTAGTAGTATATAGATGATAAATAGTTTATCAAACAGTATTTTCAGTGTTTGTCGTTCGAACAATTTCTCATCGCTCGCACGTAGATAAAATTTCGAGTCCACCTGCGGTGGTCTCTCGATTTTAATCACGTGCTCGCGATGAGAAAATTGTTCTCACGACAAACACTGAAAATACAGTGTGATAATCTATGAAGATTTCTTGGTAAACAATATTTCACTGCATTGAGATATCAAGTAATGTTTATAAAGAGATGTTAATTTGAATTAACTATAACCGCAAGCAAAACAAATTGTTTCTAATCTTTACCAAAGCCCATGAATATATTCAGTGTATTGGGTTTCACTAGAGGTCGGTTTACTGGTCGTTACAAGAGAATCTCCTACCTGGAGGAACGAAAAGTCTTCCCCGTACAGAGCCCTGTTTGACTTCTATCACCTCCACCTCTCTAGCCTTATACCACCGCTGGACATCTGTTATCGATAAAGGCTGTGGAGATTTCTCAGAAATCTCCTCCATAGTGTGATGTCCTTTGAATACGGCTAGACTGACCAATTCTGGTGTGGACACGTCCTTCGTGCCCGGACGTAATCCCGGGCTTTGTCCCGGAGCTCGTTCCATGCTCCATATTAACCCCATGGCGTCAACACCTACAATAATTAAAACAGTCTATCATTCAACACATTGCGTCGATACTTAGTAAAACCAAAGTACAGCCTTACATTAAAGACACACGAATCAGTTCGTTTAAAATGAACCAGAAACCAATAAAATACTAATTTTTAAGATGAAATTAAAGTTTCCGGTTTCGGTTTGAAGGTGATTACAATCAATGTTCTTCATGCCTAAACGATTTGCAGCTGAAGGTAAGTGAAACTGTTTTTAAGTGAATCTTACACATTTACATTTCAACTGCGAGTTCTTTTAGAAGCATTACCAGAAGAAATTGCGTTCATAGAGCTATGAAAGCAATTTGATCAGCGTCCTTTTGAAGTTTCTCCTCCTGCCTCGAATAACATGACAACCGTTAGAAGCAAACATTTTGGTTGCGTTAGGCTGTCCCAGAAATCTCGTTTGCATTGACGACGCAGACACTTATTTTAAAAAACAGATGACGTGATATCAATATTTAGGTCATCAATAGCTAAAAAAATTATACTGTCAATATAAGGATTGAACATTTTTCAATGTTCATACCGGTATGTATGAACGTAAAACGGTTACATATATATTTACCATGAAGCAGAAGCGGGCTTCATGGAATATGTAGGTTACAGATTTGCATTCGTATCAGCATAAAACTGAGAAAAAAAATCCCGTTCAATCCTTATATAAGACTGATATTATAAAATACCAATTTCAAACATATATGCTTCACATATACCTGTATAATTTCCAGACACACTTTCATGTTTTGTGACGTCAACACATCCACTCTCATCTGCTCGGAAACAGCCTGCTGACGTAAACAGCACATCTTTATCATGGCATATGTTGGCTTGAATGGTGACGTCATCACCCTGATTCAAACCCTTCACGTGAACAGCGAACCGTTCGTCCACCAGTACGTCATCGGGCACTGCTGTAATTCTTACACATTGGGAACGTGTTACGCCCGTCCATCGTCCGCACGTCTGGACGTTACTCTTATAGACGTGGAGTATTCTAGAGAGTCTACCTGAATCTCAAATAAACAAAACGTGTATGCTAGCAGTGGTGTTTTGTTGAGAGATGGGTCTGTCTGCATAGACTAATACATTATCGAATAAATTCCTCACTGATACCGGGGATTGAAAATCAGGTCAGGCATTGTATCATACACAAATTAACTATAATATTTGTATATTATAAGTATCAGTATTTAGATTCCGGGAAATAGACGTACCTTTCTGTGACAGTCTGGACAAGAGAGGCATCTTTAATCAAACTTAAAAGAGGCCTCTCTTAACCTACAACATAAACATATTCTCTCAATAACATATATCGGTTTTAATTTTTGTCTTGTTTTTAATTAAAGAGAAGTTGTACACTCAGTTTACAAGAAAATACGTTAATTATTTAATTACTTTTAACTTTATAGTTAGGTCATTAATTGAAACGAACTTACGTAAATCATCTTATTTTACAAGAAAACCATACATTGTAATCCTGTAATATTTGTACAGCTTCCAATTGTCGAGCTATAATACAAACGGCTTCACTAGTAGCTACAAGCTGGTTAATACAAAGATAGAAGGGAGAAAGGGTAACATTGTAGGTAGGATAGGAAAGAATGAAAAGTTTGATTTAAACCAGTATTATAAAATTCTGTAATTTTTTTTATCTCCTCTCTTTACAGTATATTTATCTGATTAATTATCGTCGTATTTATGTCTAAGTATATGCAGTTAAAACATGACAACACCTTAATGATATTGAAGCCTGAAAGGCAGTAGTAAACACATTTGAGACGTATTACTATGTTGGTTAACAAGAGTTATGTCCCTTAGTACTACACCTTTGAGTTCAACGGAAGCGACATATTATCAAAATTACTAAATCATGCCTACCTAAGCATTTCTTACTCCATACAACCATCACTTAAATGACCAATACTGACACGCACTATTATCGCGGGAAAGTTAAAATGAAACACTCTCTGAATTGGTTGATTAATTTGCTCGATTCCTAAAAGGTCAATCCGTCTTCCGTATTCTGTAGTCTAAAGCACGATGACGTGCTATTTATAGGTTGTTACTTTTGTGAGATAATAAAACAAGAGTGAATGCATTCACTGATGTTTTGTAGACTTACCTGAAACAATGCATTCAATCAAGGCAATCATTTTGGTTTACAGGAGTAGTTCAATCTCGGGCTAAATTTACCAACTTTCGATTACTACCGATAAAATATACTAAATAATCTCAATGGACAGGAAGCGGTCGAAGTATTCCGGAATTATTCAAGTCTAGCTGCAGGAACCGTAGCTTCTAGGCCCGATCTTTTTTATTATTATTATTATTGTTATCGGACCGATAACAATAAAAAAAGATCGGGCCTACAAGCTACGGTTCCCGCAGCTGATTCAAGTCCTGCTATAAGTATGTGCTGGCATACTAATCCACTAGAAGGTCAAGTGTTTATGAGGTATTGACTGTAAATATTATGAATTCCATATGCATGTACATGTTGTAACCGTCCAGATAAAATGTTGAGGGTTTATACCCGTGTGTCTACATATGGCTAGGCACAAAAAGGCACGTTTGTTTCCTGTTACATGTTTGAAAATGTAGGGTAAGTAAAAAGGAACTTTATTTCGAACATTATTTATAAGTTTATATAAGAGAATGATCTTGACTTTAACAGCACTTCCTTGATAATTGCCAAAGAAGGTTCAGGATAGACACAAACAAATTTGGCAGGTAGGGTAACCGGAAACAATGTTTTTTAGCTCACCTGCCCGAATGGCTCGAGTGTTCGACATATCCTCTGCTATGACTATTTCATAATGATACTATTATGAAGCGGTTAATATGTAATGTTTAAGTCGGGTGCTCGAAAGTGGAGCGTTCGAGAAAATATATCGAGCGCTTGAGAGAATAAGTCCAGCACTCGAGATCATTAATGTAGAAAATAATATTGTGCATGTCCGAAATGTACCACCATAGACTTACGTAGATTTTTTTATAGCAATTATTAATATAGTATTTACAACAATAGTATATTCGTTCATTCATCAAATAAGATCCATAGGTATCAAATTCAAATTCTCCCCTTCGATTGAAGGGAGAAGTATTATTTCAGTACTGGTTCCTCTTCCGGTTCTTCTTTTAACTGCGTGTCAAACCATTAAAGGTAAGTTGATGAAGCTTGCAGTATACCTGTATCCCCCACAACAAACGATTGGCGATGTAGTGCTATACGTTCACTGTGACCCTGACCCCGAAGTCAAAGGTCAAATAAGTTGGATTCTTCTTTTTTTGCGGAAAATCTTGTCCAATAAACCGTTAAAGTTATATATATGAATCATGCAGTATAAATGTATCTCCTACAGACGTCGTGCAGTGCGCCGTCGTTATGCCACTGTGACCTTGACCTAAGATCAATGGTCAAATGAATGAAAAATTGTCATGGCCATTTTTCCCGGGTCGTTACTTTTAAACCGCAAACTTTATCATGAAGAAATGTGCAGGGATGGTTTGGTTTGATAGGGTTTTACGGCCAATTAACAGCCAAGGGAAGTCAAAGACGTGTATCCATGTGTGTAATTGCATGCATGTATGTGTATATATGTACTGGAGGCCGGGTATGTTGGTGTACTATAATGCCGACTTAACAGTTCCATCTAACTAAACTACTAAGGCAAAGGCACCAAGCATGGCATCCAGCCCGGTCACACGACGCAATTACCCTCAAAACGAAGGTAAAAGGAGACAATATGGTATCTCCAAGCAAGGCGCTAGAGGGGAGAAGGTAGTTAGAAGTAGAGAGAAATGTAAAGATCCAAAATATTGCAAAGGGTGCAACATACTTATTTCGGTCGCTTTTGTGTCCCCAAGTACACTTACAATCATGCAGTGGAAAATAACAGATGTTCTCTTCTCTTGTTCCCAAACCGCCAGGGTCATCCATTAGCAATATGCAATACACTGCCATTTGGTCACTGGAAACACTGACCTCAAGATCTAAGGCCAAAAAATGGCAAACTTTTCAGTAAGGTTTAGTCTGGCCTGTAACTTTCAAACCATCAAATATGTCTTTATGAGTTTTTGCATTTCATGTGCATCTCCCAGAGATGATATGCAGTGAATTGTCATAAGGTCACTGTTTGCTTGATTTCAAGGCCAAAGGCCAAATAAGCACATGTGGCAGTAGAAAGAAAATGTGAATTTGATCCCCTAGTAGCCGGAACTTTTGTTTGACTTAATCACATCAGTTGTTGTTCATGGATAAAATTGATGTTTTGTAAAAAGAAAACAGGTGGGTTCTGAATAATAAGCACCATTTAAAATTATGCGTGACGTCATTGTTTCTTCCTAGACCTCGATTTGTCTACATTGTTGCTAGGTTCGAGCATTTAGAAAGCAAACCAAACACAAATATGGGCTTACCATGTGGGACGTTTTGTCGAATATGTGATCATGAACCATCTGAAGAAAAATCGCAGGTTTGTAACAAAAGCATCACCATACACTTAGCTCTCAAACAAAGTACAACACTTTTTATTTTACGTCGTATAGATCACAATAAACATTCATCACTGTAATGCTATTCTTGCGACTTGTCTTGCGCTTAATACGCGTTTTCCTGTGTATATATATGTATTCGTTCCCACAGACACTTTGACGTCTTTAATTAGGACAGGCATAACGTCGGGTTTAACAAACATGGACAAAGTAAATAAAATATGCCAATTTACTATAGCAACACTTCAACGCACACTCGTCTATCTCTACCATCTGATAACAACATGACCATTTAACTACTGTACACTAAATTCCACACTTTGAATTAAAACCAAACAACGTGTGAATTAAATATCCCTTTGTGAGGAGTTCAAATTGCAGGAAACCTTACGACATTCACACTAGCCGCTACGTCGGCATGGCACCGCGGCGTAGTTTTATATTCTGTCAAAATACAGTAAGCCAAATGACAGCTATGACGAGTACTAACAGAGGCAGTAATGACGGATATCCTGTGACGTCACCGCCTCGCTGTCATGGTGTTGGTGCCGGGATTGTCTTTTGGTTTGTTCCTGGAATTGTCTGTGCTGTTCTGATATTGCGTCCTCAACCGGATGTACGTTTGGATTGGCTGGGGCGGATCCCCTACCATCATCACCTTTCCATGTATCACCTGCACGGCTCTGTTCACTTTTATCTCCTTCAGATAACGCTCGAAGGCAAGATCTACACTGGTGTTCTGGCCAAATAAAATCGAAAAACATGGTAACTACATGTATTTTAAGGTAACATCGGTCAGTTTTTCCAAAAATAGTGCCATTAGTTATCACATTTCACTACTGTTTTTAAAAATTTACCAGAATCTTTGGATTAATGTTGAAGAATATTTTCTATGGTTATTGCCGAAAGTAACTTTTATAATGCAGACAGGACGTATGTATCAAATGTAAGAAGAACATTGATTACATGGAAATCCAGTGTCTCCAGAACACACAAAGATCGGGGGTCGTACAGGCTGTGCAGTATGGCCGTTGCCCCGACGGACGTCAGCAGATTGTCACCGATCTGTGAAAACAACAGACATGTATATTTGATCAAATTACCGTTCTTCAGCATGCACGAATCCTACACCTAATAATGTGAAGGTAACACGAAGTATCGACAACGCAGTAAGGTCCTGTAGGCATGCATCTCATTTCCAAATTCACTGATATTCATAAGAATCAGGTAGAATTATAATGCACAATGAATTGTCCTGAAATTAGAATATAAAATCCCTAATCAACGTGTTTTGATATCGCGTATTATCGTGTGAAATATACGATATCCTACTACACACCCGGAGGACCTTCAGGGTGTCGTTCTTGGCAAGTCCTTTGGCTAGTGGCACGGTATCCAAGTCCTTTAGTCTGTTATGAGAGAGGTCAAGCTCCACCAAACTTTTGTTTATTTTCAGGAGAGACACCATCTCGGAAGCTCCGTCGGAGCCGAGTCCGTTAAAACCAAGGTTCAGCCGTGTCAGTCCAACGTTGTCCTAGGTTTGATATTAAAAAGGTTCACCCATAAACAATAATCATATAATCGTGCATACATATTTAAATAAACACACAAATGCTTTATAAGTCGGTAATACAAATGATCAAACTAAATAACAAAATAAATAAAACGGTAGCCATTAGGGATAGCCAACGAGAGTTATTTCCCTTGGCGGCACCTGTCTTACAATGTACATTCCTCAATTTTGGTTTTCCATTCGAAAAAGTCCTTAAATCATCCCTTTTACTTATCTCTTGCAATGCTTTCCGATTGAAAATTTTGTATTAAAGAATGTCCTTTAAAGTAAGTGTTCTTGAAGTCGGGACCAGACTCAAATTTATATCACCGGACTAGCCTTAACTTTACCCGAGCAGACTAGCTTGTGCTCTCGTATCACTGGACTAGGATCGAAATATAGAAAATTACTGTTAATGTTTTAACCAATGAAATCAGTTAGATTTCCAGCTGCACTATGACCAATGTATCCTATTGTTCATACAGAATATGCTTGCTTACGTATGGTATATCATAAAGCTGGGTGTACATCTATTCCCAAGGGACGGTCGGTGTAGTGAAGGAGTTAGTGACGTAAGTTTGGTATGCGTTAATGTATTTAAGACATTGTATATCGTTTGAAGAAACGACATTCACACAACTATTTGATGTTTACCTTTAATCTCTTAACGAATAATGCTGCACTCTTCTTACGAATCTGGTTCCAGCTGATGTCGAATGTCTCCAGGGTGTTGTTGATGGCTGTTGGCGTAACAATCAAAGGTAAATATTGATGAGGAGATTGAAGCTTAAGGCGTCAAATTAATGGGAATTAATATCATATCAAATTAATGTCATTAACAAACTGTTGTGGATTCACGGTGCAGTTTGAAAAAGAAAAAAAACAGAACGACAACTTGTACCTTTTGATATAGACGCCCTAAACCGTTCTTTGTGTGTAACTTGTGTCTAATTACTTGTGTCTCTAGTGTCTTTTTTATAAAGACTGATGTCTAATCAACAGTTTTAATTAATTATTATTACTTCTGTATTTGCAGGATTATTGGGATCCTAATTTCAATCTGAAACTCTTGCCTCCGTCTATTGTGCAAGGCAGCAACTTAAAACAACTTTCACACCAAGGAACTAAACAGTCAGTATTTAATCTTACAATCAAAGTGTCCATTCAAGGCCACCACAGTTAAGCCAAACACAATATGATAATAAAAAAGCATGAATGTAAAGAAAAAACTCCGGACTGTCAAAACAGAATACCCATGTGGGAGTACAGTGAACTATATTGTGTAGGTTGGTGGATCCTGTATGTTTTTTATTGATCGTTTACCTGCATTTATACATTGCAAATTTCCGTATCTAATACATATGTATAGGAGTACAGGTAAACCTAGTTCAGTGGAAATGCTCTCCTAGAGGGTTGATATCGATATTGCAGTGTTGTTTGTTACAGGACAACAAAAGAAGTCCGTCTGCTTCACTGAAAACGTCATGTCGGGTGTTTTACCAGGTCATCGATTACACATGGCGAGTCTGTCATTTGAGGTATGTTAAGACTTGAAAACACAGTCTTTTACACCTGTAGTTACATACACCTGTAACCACATACACCCGTAATTACATCTGTAAACCTGAAGTCATATTTATATAACATGTAGACTCTTTCACCTGTACTCGCACATAACTATAATCACATACACCTGTAAACACATGTAGTCACTTAGGTCTTTGTGAAAATGCTATAGTTACATACACATATAATCACGCACACATGTAATCACATACACGTATAGTTACAAACACCGTTAGTTGCATACACCTGTTGTCACATACACCTGTTGTCACATACACCTGTTGTCACATACACCTGTTGTCACATACACCTGCAATTACAAAAAAACATTTATTTACATAAACCTGTATTCACAAACACCTGTAATCATATTCACCTGTAGTCATCTACACCTTTAAGCACACACACCTGTAGTCATATGAACCTGTAGTCACCTACACTTGTAGTCATATTCACATGTAGTCATATACATCTGTTGCCACATACACCTGTAGTCACATACATATGTAGTCACATACACCTGTAGTCATATACACCTGTTGCCACATACACCTGTAGTCATATTCATCTGTAGTCGCATACACCTGTAGTCACATACACCTGTAGTCAAACACCCCTGTAGTCACATACACCTGTAGTCACATACACCTGTAGTCACATACACCTATAATTACACACATATGAATTTACATAAAACTATAGTGGCACATACAACTGTAGTCATATTCACCGGTAGTCACATACACCTGTAGTCACATAAACCTGTTGTCACAAGTACCTGTAGTCACATACACCTGTAGTCATATACACCTGTTGCCACATACACCTGTAGTCATATTCATCTGTAGTCGCATACATATGTAGTCACATACACCTGTAGTCATATACACCTGTTGCCACATACACCTGTAGTCATATTCATCTGTAGTCGCATACATATGTAGTCACATACACCTGTAGTCATATACACCTGTTGCCACATACACCTGTAGTCATATTCATCTGTAGTCGCATACATATGTAGTCACATACACCTGTAGTCATATACACCTGTTGCCACATACACCTGTAGTCATATTCATCTGTAGTCGCATACATATGTAGTCACATACACCTGTAGTCATATACACCTGTTGCCACATACACCTGTAGTCATATTCATCTGTAGTCGCATACATATGTAGTCACATACACCTGTAGTCATATACACCTGTTGCCACATACACCTGTAGTCATATTCATCTGTAGTCGCATACACCTGTAGTCACATACACCTGTAGTCAAACACCCCTGTAGTCACATACACCTGTAGTCACATACACCTGTAGTCACATACACCTATAATTACACACATATGAATTTACATAAAACTATAGTGGCACATACAACTGTAGTCATATTCACCGGTAGTCACATACACCTGTAGTCACATAAACCTGTTGTCACAAGTACCTGTAGTCACATACACCTATAATTACAAACACATGAATTTACATAAACCTAAAGTGGCACATAAACCTATAGTCATATTCACCTGTAGTCATATTCACCTGTAGTCATATACACCTGTAGTCACATACACGTGTAGTCATATACAGCTGTAGTCACACACACCTGTAGTCATATACAGCTGTAGTCATATTCACCTGTAGTCACATACACCTGTAGTCACATATACCTGTAGTCACAATAACTGTTGTCACAAGTACATGTAGTCACATACACCTATAATTACACCTATAATAAGTGTAGATGTAGTCAAATCCATATAACCTGTAGACTCATACACCTGTACTCACAAACAACTGTAATCACATATTACATACGCCCATAAATAACAGCTAAATACACCTGAAGTCAGAAATCACTGTCAAGATTTTAATTTATTGAGTAGCAAACAGTCGTCCTTCATTGAGAAACTTACACCTAGATCATGATCCAACACGGACTGAACACTCGTTAATTTGCTTGTTTTTCATTGCCCTGTTTTAGAAGTAAATGTATACACTAGAAGTGTTCTCTAAACATAAAATGCTCAACTCCTTGTTTTGTAATACTGCTTCCACATACGTATAGTCGTGTTTTTAATTTTTTGTCTTCCATGTAATTGATGATAATTTATTGCACGTATTTTTTGTAATTTAAGCCTTACAGAGCCTTAGCCGGAGTGGAGAAATAGATGAAATATCATATCTACACGGCATAGTTCATTGCAAAAAAAATCAAAAACACAAAACAATGAGGTATAGGGTATAGTTAAAATAATTACTGAATCGAGAGCTTCATAAACATACAAACTTACCTCGGTTACTTTTCCCAAACGAACACCATTTGACTTACCGAGGGCCTTTCCGAAGGCTGGTCCGCTGACATCACCAAATAGGTTGTGGGACAGCACTATTTCCTTCAAGGATTTGTTTACCTTCGTACAAGAAAACAATAAGGACGGGTTTCACTGGTGGTTAAAGAAGATTTAGAGTTCAAATATGAAGTATATTTGATACAAACTGGTATTTATAAACTGTGTAGACTTACACACTGGTGTAGTGTAACAGTATCTTAAGGGATTGCTTGGGGCTTAACTTACCTGTATGGCCTCCGAAAAATACAACCCGTCCTCATCTTTGAAGCAGTTCTCTGCAAGTAGAAATTATAGAGATATCAAGAAAAGAACATCGTTCGTTGTTTAAACTTATGCTTCCTTAACTGTTGTACTGCTGCATTCATCTGTAGCATGTTTGCCCCCCCNCACACGTACACTAGCTACTATACAGTAATATAGGGACATAGAGGAAACAAAAACTGTTATAATCCCGTCCATTGCAATATAATTGTATATTTTTATTATTCCGATGGTGTTATCAAATGTGTCGTCCATTATCAATGTCCTTCCTAAGTTGTCGTCA